GTTTACTTAAAATATATTTAAAATTTTACACATACCTATAATGACCTGGAGATGCAATTAATTAACAAATATGCAATTAAATAACAAAATTTACAAATATGTCTTTCTTTCTTGAGTTTATGATTATAACAACTATTTACTAATAAAAAATGAATATTAATCATGAATATAAGCTTATAAAGTATCTCTCTGGCTCTCNCTCTTACTGCCTTCCTCTTTAAGCCTCATTTTTTCAGTAACTTTTTTAGTCTAAAAATCAAAAAGTAAGTAAGAGATTTGTCCAAAGAATATAGTTAATGATTTACATTCACAACATTCAAAACTAAAAAACTTTTGTGAATGCGGTTTAAGGATGTCTAAGTCAATACGAAAGCTCCAAAGTCACAACTGAAGAAATTCTGACTAATCATTTTAAAAGTTGTTTACGAAAGTTTTACATCCAAGTACATCCAGGGAGTGGACAAAATAATGGAAGTACTTAATACTGATAATTCTTTCATATTTTTTCAAAAAATACCAAAATAATTATTTTATAGCTTAAGTGTTTTGATCATGTGATTTCTCATACTTATTAATGAAGTTAAAAGCTTTTAGAGATTTGTAGGACCAATAATAAATTAAAAACGACAAAAAGTGTTTTTGTACACTCTATGTCAAAAAATGTATCAATAAATTTGTGACTTGTAGAAATTATTTTAGTTATTAATTTGCAATAAGTGCAAAAACTTTGCAAGCCTAGCCTAAATACTTATGGCAATATAGACACTTTTATAAAAAATAAAAAATTTTGTCTTAAGTTTTTTTGCTTTATAACTTTAAAAATATTCTATAAAATTAAACAAAATTTTTAGAAAAATTTAAAATTAGTTAGAAAATTATTATTTTAAAATTTGAGAAAAATTCATTTAAAATTACACAAAATATGAGTAACTAAAATAGTTCTTTTATAATGCTCATGCACGCCAAAAACTTGAATTTTTTTTCCCCTTCATTTTGTAAAAAATTGTACAAGGCAACTAATAAAAAAAAATCAGATTTGAATACCTTAAAAATTTAAAAAGTTTTAAACAATTGTCTAAGTAGTTTTTGTACTTTTTAAAAGAAACTCAAAATGATAAGAGACATTCTACAAACATAATTTTGTATCATAAGACAAAATTAAATAACAAATGATAATGCCCTATAATAAACGTTCATACACGAAACATGGAAATATGATTTATGGAGAGAAAACAGACGAAAGAAAAGTTACTTTTAGGAGGATGATCCCCAGTGTCATTTTTAATAAATCTTATTTAATTGTACAAAATGAATGTGGAAAACCCTTATATTTTGAGCTTCTTTTAAAAAGTACAAAAACTACGAAGAAAATTGCTTTAAACTTTTTAAGATATTATAATTGGACTTTTTTTTTAGTTGTCAAATACGCTTTTCTGCAAAATTAAGAAAAAAAATACAAATTTTCCCCTCACATGCACAAAAAGAACTACTTTAATTACTCATATCTTGTGTAATTTATACGAATTTTTCTCATATTTTAAAACTAATTTTTTTTAACTAATTTTAAATTGCTTTAAAAATTTTGTTTAATTTTGTTGAATATTTTGTAGCAAAAAAAAGTTGTCGCAAAAAAAAGGCAAGACAAAAAAATTAGCTTTTATAAAAAAAGTCCACATCTCTTTAAATATTCAAGCAAGGCTCACAAAATTTCATGTAATTATTGCATATATTAACTAAATAATTGCTATGAGTTACTAATTTATTGCTACATTTTTGGATATAGGGTGTTAATAAACACTATTTTATGCTTGTGATTTATTTTTGGTCTCTATACCTCTAAAAGCTTTAAACTTCATTGATAAGTTTGAGAAATTGCATGATCTAAACAGTTGTGAAATTATAAAATGGTTCTTTAAGCATTTATTGAAAAATATGAAAAAATGTATTAGTATAGAAAGGTTTTCATTATTTTGTCCACATTTTGTATGTATAAAATATCAGTAAAATATGCAGAAATTTATGCATAAAACATCAATTCTTGACTTTTTTTTAAAAGAAGTTTGATATAACAATGATAGATATTTACATAAATAACAACTAATTTTAAACTAAATATTAAGAACAAGACACATACACGCATTTTTGTTAGCAAATGATTCTAAAAGTACTGTGTTTAATTGTGCTTTTAAAGGAAATATTAAAAGTAAAGATATATAGTGAAAAATGAATTGTTAAAATAAATTTGGTTTTCAAGTGAACATAAATTAAACTAATGTACTAAAATAATATTGCCCTAAAATATTTGAATATATCTTACTTCAATTTTTAAAGTTACTTCTCTTTACTTAGTTCTTACTTTATTATTTTTAGTTATTACTTTATTGAAAACATATTTTAAAATATAAAAGCAAAAATGCTTTTTTTTTCTTTCTTTTTTCAAGCAAATGATTCTTTTAAACTTTTGCGTCTGAAAACAATATATTACAGCCCAGGGATATTATGGGCTATAAATGAGTAAATGAAATTGAGATTCTCAATAACAATAACTTGCTAACTGTTGCTTTAAAATATTTAACTCGCTATTAAAAAAATATTTTGATACATCTTATTTTAGAAAAGAATATTTTTTATTATCAGAAAGAGGGGAAAAGAATTTTTTCCAAAATTGTATGATTAAACTTTTTTTCTTTTTGAATAAAATATATCATAAAAAAGACTCATTTTGTGTTGAAATTGGTTAAAAAAAATTTAATTTCTCAATCAAGATTGCTTAGAATATGCTATTTTAAAATGATGAGTCGTTTAAGAAATATCTTAATACTTCTTATTAAAAAAAATATTTAAAAAGGAGAAAATAAATTTAAACCAAACACTTTAATTTGTAACTTTTGACTTTTCAATAAAATTTATTTCTGCAAGACACATTTTGGGTAAAAAACTGTTAAAACAAATATTAGTTTGCATAAATTCAAATTATTGTTATAAAATAACTTAGTTAAAAAATATTTTAATGCATCTCGTTTTATTAAAAAAAAGGTTTAAAAAGGAAGAAAACTGCAATTGATAAATTGAATCTATAAATAACACCATCTTAATTTGAAATTCTTTGTATCATAATAAAACCATACAGAAAAATAATAAAACCATACATTTTTGAATTATAAATGTTTGTAGAAATGGTTAATAAAATTTGAAAGGTACTTTCTGATAGAAAATGTAAGTGAGAAGTTTGTTGTACAGGACACAGATTGCAAAAAATCATTTAAGAAAGTTATTTGATAGTGAAATAATAACTAGTCATTTAGATAACATTAAATACATGTTGTTGCTTATACTCATCTGGCCTGACGAAGTCAGACCATATCTATAAACCCGTTGACCAGAATGAAATCAAAGACCAAAAGAGGAAAAGAGTAGATGTCTTCCCAGAGAAGGCCAAGACAGTCCAGGATATGATCGGCAGAAGCCTGGTGTAGATGGGATTTAGGGCAGAGGGGGTAGGTTTTAGTTCCTTCAGAAAAAAGTAAACCTTTTAGATGGCCGGTAGCTAGGTGGGAGAGGGTGGTGCAGACTCTCCTTTCACTATATAGATAACTATTTATATGGGACTTCATTTAGCCACTTGTAGTTATTGCAAGTAGATTGACCATTTTTTCAAGGAAATTATTCTTAAGTTTCGGTAATAACAAAAAAAAAATTTAAAAAATACAGTGCTCTAACACTTCTCTGATTTTTCTTCTTCAAAAATTAGACTTTCTGTAACTGTATTAAAACATCAAAGTTAACCACTTCCCTGATTGTCCCGAGTTAACTCGGGTATGTATGTATTGCAAATATTTATTATTCCAAGATAACTCGGGCGTAGTAGAATTTGTCCGTATGTTTTGTTTTATCACGGTTTTTATCGTCCGGAACCAAAAAAAAAATGAAAAAATTGTAATCTGCTATCAGGGGTCGGTCCAGACATTTTGTGAAAGGTCCGTTTTTCGCGAAATTGGGAAAAAATTACTCACATTCTTTCAACCAGGGTTCGCTTTTATGAATTTGTGCAAGTAGGGTCCAGTTATTGCAAAACACTTTTTCAATGAGTTTTTAAATTTTAAATAGATACAAGATTATGCTCTGCACTGTAAAATTATAGCAAAAAAATTAAATTTTCAAAAATAAACAGCAATTGCTGCTTCTAAACTAGAGATGCAACATACAAATATTTGGTATTTAGCCTATACTGCTGAAAGCAGAATATTCATTTAGGACGAATAGTGGAAGAATCGTCTGCCGAAGACAAAACTTAATTCGTTTACATCCGTCTTTCTTGTTTACTGCCCTGGGAAGGGTTTATTCGATTAACAAAACAATAATGAAGATAATCAAATTTGTGAAGGGTCCAATTAAAAGAAAAATCATTTTGTGAAGGGTTCGTTTTTAAGTTAAAATATTTTGTGAAGGGTCCGTTTTTATGAAAAGATATTTCGTGAAGGGTTCGTTAACGCACCCAAATTTTTTTCTAAACAGACCCCTGGCTATGATTGGAAGTTTGGCGAGTTTTGTTTGGGAGTTTTGCTGTTGGATTGTGGGACTGTACACGTATTTTGGGCGATTGTATATACGATGATTGCTGAATTTACAAAGAAAAAAAAGACTAAAAAATGGCATATCACTTCATTGGCATATAGAAAGTATCACTTTGCATTGTCCTTTGTTTTAAAAACTATCTTACAAAGGCTAATATTTAACTTTTATCATTTGCCCTAGATAACCAGGAGAGTAAACGTGATGGTAAATTAAACGTTTTTTTTACACACAAAAAAATTCAAATTTCAACATAAAACTTGTGCATTATGTTTTGTTTTTGTTCCTTGTATTTATTACTGAAATAAAATAAAATATGCTGATTTGTTGCATTGATCTTCTTCAAAACAATTGGTAAGGGAAGGGGTTAATAGCTAAAAAAGGATAAGAATGAAATGTTTACCTTTATAATTACTTTTAATACATACCCAGTGTGAGTATCCCATAGCTCACCGCTATTTGGATAAACAATTAAAGGATAGTGAGGTAAAGCAGAATGAATATTTTTCAAGAGGTTCACAGCAAACTCGGGAGAACAGCAGTTGACACCAATGGCAATCAGTTGAGAAGGATTGGATGCCTCAGCACAAACTTTAGATGCTTCTCCCACATCTTCCCCATGAGCGGTCTTGTCCATAGACTATAGAAGACAAAGAATGTCATTAACGCATGGAAGTTTTAATGTTTTTTGTAAAAATACTTTTTCTTTTGTTGCTACAAAAATAATAATAATTCTTACTATTTTAATTTCTAAGCTAGTAACATTAAAATATTTGCAAACGCTGATGCTTTAAATCAGTTAAATTTTGTGGGAAAAAAACTTTTAAAGTTTTCCAGAAAATAATTATATATTATTAGGGATATGATTAATGGGGGACTAGAACAAATAATAAATATTAAGCCACAGAATGTAATGCTATATTTAAAAACAACACACGTTTTTAAATATAACATTAACAAAAATTATAATGACGATAAAAACAATGGTTGTGTGCATACATATATTCATATATTCTCCAATGTATAGTACTAATGAAACTATTTCTCCAAATAAAAACAAACTAAAATCATATTTTTAAATATACTTAGATAACAATCAGTAATACAAAACAAATTTGACAAATGCAATAGCAAGCTTTTTATAAACTAAATAGAAATGAAGATTCACATATATCAAGAACTTTATCGTTATGTTGTATTATTGGCATTTCTAAAAATGTAGAAAGGATAGTTCTAAACTTTCAGCTCTTAAAATACAATTAAGTTTAAATTTAATTCATAGTAAAAAATTTTAGCGTAGTTTATAATTTTGTCTAGTGACAGGTAATAACATTAATAATAGCAAAAGTTTTTTACATATAAATGAATTAAAAAATATTTGTTTCCAACCAAAAGGGCCAGTTTTGGGAATTCATGATATTAACTGAGAAAATGTAACACCAAATTAAAAAAATTTAAACTGTATCTAGCTGTTAACAAATAAAAATATGAATAAAAAGTTTAAATAGAACAGATACTTGATAATATCCTTCACAAATGGCAGTAATAAACGTTATGTATATTACTAAGTTAAAGATATTTAAAAAAAAAAAATTAGAGTTTTGAGGCATGTTTAAAACACTAACATACAGAACTGTGCTATTACATTAACAAAAAATAGGTTAAAGTAAGTATTAAATTTTATTTATCCATCCTTAAAATAAAATTTCAAATATCCAAGTGTTTTCTTATGCTTCTATGAAATATTTCTACAACAAAAGGACATTTTCTTAAACATGAAATCTAAAATTATTCATAAAATGTAACACACACAATGCCTTTAGTTTGTCTAATAAATTTATTAAAAGATAATCTGATGTCCTAAATTATCATTTTGATTATATAGGAAAATATACAACATAAGTAGTTAATATTTAGCACATATAGCATAATATCAATAGAATTCAGATTTAGATACTATTAATTTAATTATTCGTTCCTTTAAAGAAGTGTTCATATGTAGGTTAATTGTAATTTTACTATATTTAGATCAATTGCATTGATCTAACCATAATGAAACTCATCTAAGTCTTAGACTAAGAACAGGAAGGTTTAAAGCAACATTGCACAACCAGCCGAAACCAACTGTAGATTCATAAAAGAAAATTAGAATATAAAAGGTAAAGAAAGAAGTTATTAAAGTGAAAAAAGGTGAAGAATTACAAAGAAAATTATACACTTATATCATGATAAATTTTTATATTATTACAGACACACAAGACTAAAATATCAAGGGAAAAAAATCGTATCAGGATAACATCCTTTTAAACTGAATTTACAGAGTTTGGTAGCTGATCCGGGAGACCATGAATTGACTGACTTGGATTAAATTCGATGCTAATTTCGAAAATTTAAAATTTAATGCATCGTTCAGAATCTATTAACAACTTTTAATTCTGAGAACTGCGAAAAGTAATTAAAAGTGTAATACATAGTTAGAACAAAATTATACAGGGGGAAAAACAGAACTAAAAATATTCGGATTGCTTTAACAAAAATGTTGAATAAATTAGCCAAATATTTTTTTCCCCACACTTTTTTATTCATTTGTTTACAATTTCCACATCGTATCCACTTTATTGTACCATATGGCATTACCATATCACACACAGCACAAATGACTATAGCAAAACTTCAGGACTCTCAATTTCTTCTCCATACTCAGTAGACTAACCCCTCTCTGACTACCACTTCATTCAAAATTTGGGCAACTTTTTAAAAGAAAAACAATTAAATTCCAAAAATGCTGTAAAACTGGTCATACTAGCAATTGACTCATATTTGCCACGATTTTATCCTACTTGACTGAATAACCTGCTGCTTAGAAGGCAAAAGTGTTAATGTAATATGGTTGTATACTTTGATAGATAAAACAGTTCATTATATCTGCAAGTTATCAACACTTTGTCTATTTTATCACAAAAGTCATACTTGAGTATAAAAAAAACCTTGAAACTTAACAAATGATCATTAAATAGTGCAAGTACAAAATCAATGCTACCTGGCATGAAAAGCTCAACCACGCTTTTGTTTGAGGAAACTCCTTTAAGAGAGACACAAGAGCTTCAGCTTCCATCTGAGCAGGGATTGTTTCAAAAGCCAAAACATCAACTCCTGCATTCACCAAACACTGAATACGGTGCCTATGCCATGTTTTAAGTTCCTGTAAAAAAAACAAAATTACAAAATAATAAAATTTAGTTTGCTATTTTGGAATTAATTAACCATTAGACTAATAAATTCAAGATTAAATTTTATGGTGCTCAGAGTTACGCCAAATGAGTTTTTGAAAAGAATAATGATAAATTAAAAAGTAAAAATTTTCCTAAGAGTGCACAACCTCCTTCTAAAGGGACCCAATGTGACAATTTTATTTACCTTTTTTTTTTATTCATTTCCATAACAGATGAATCTTGTAAACAACATAAATAATATAATAATATTAAGGAAAAATTAAAAAAGAATTAAATTATATTAATGTAAAATTAAATAAGAAAAAGTAAATAACATAATAATATTAAAGAAAAATTAAATTTTTTATTTAAAATTTATTTCACCATTATTAACTCCAAATTTAACTATATATTATAACCATTCTGAAATTTTAAGTTAAAATGGTTATAGGTATTGATTTCTTAAAAAAGAATAAAAAATAAGGATACTAAATATGCAAGGTTGATAAAATCATGAGTTAATTTAAAAAGTAGAAAATATTTAATATTTTACCTTTTTTTACAGTTACCAATAATAAATTTGATAAAATTATCTTTTTAACTATACATTAAAAATCTAGTGATGTTGGTGTAGTTTTCCAAATGTTGATCCGCTATTGGCCAATATTCACACGGCAGTATCCAGTTTTCGCAGATTAATTTCCATATTTTTTTGGTCATTATCAGCATAAAATTAATATAAGTCATAAAAGTATTGTTTTCCTGTAAGGTATTTTGGTACCAAAAATTTAAAAATTATCTGCAATACTTATTTTTTCATTTTATTCTGCCATTATTAAATTTTTTATTTTGACATAACAAACTAAATTTAGAGTTTAAAATTAAAAGAGTTGTTTGTTCATTATAATGCAGTACCTAATTATATTACATTTTAAAATAAACTTATTTAAATCTTGCATAAATTTATTAACTGTTTTACAATTTGTATTTTTTGGAACAAATTACATTAGCATACTATTATAAATTACCATAAAAGAGATTTGTTCAATGATTTAGAGCTTAATAATCCGCTTCATGTACCATGTGATTCAGCAGGCACAAATTGTATTTAATATATCAGCCTGTTTGGCAAACAAAAGTATTAAATTATGACAGAGAACTACCCAAACTTGCTATAACAATAGACTTTTAATTTTAAATGTTATTTTTAAAAAAAATTATTACTAAGCAAAATTATTAATGTTCACTTACAAATCTTAATAGAATCATAAGGGAAATAGAAATCATATGAGATAAGGATAATAAAATCATATGAGAGATATTATAGAATCATATGAGACTGAATCATATAGGATTATTTACCAATCAAATTTGACTCAAAATAAATATTTCATTTAAAGAAATAAATGTTGCATATGGGAAGGGGAGGTGCAACCGTGAGCAAACAGAACTCTTTCTCATACATGTATTTTAATTGAATAATTTAAACTTTTATAAAAAAAAAACTGTTTCATTCTAAGACAGAAGAATTATTGTGACGTAATCATTAGTGAGTGGCAGCAAACAGGAGTCTTAAAGACATCTGAAAATAATCTGTTGGTAAAAAAATTATCATTACATAAAAAGTATTTGGAAGAAAAATATATAAAATTTCATATCATGAAAAACAAAATGTTTGTTTTATTTAAACCCTACAAATTTATGACTTTAATTAAAGTATTTAAACTATTGCAAATTGGGCATCAAAATTTTCAGACTAGTAAAGATTCTACCTTAAAAACCATGTACCTGAAATGTTACAGTTGAAACAAAACTCCCTGTGTATTCAGAGCCATCGGCCATTGCTGCACCATATGAACCCACAGATCCAGCAATCACTATATCCTTACCACCTACAAACATAAATTTAATACCATCAACAATGTAAACAAAAATGCTACACACATCTGTTAGTTAATGAATTTAGATCACATAAATTAATTTCCTCTTTATTCTAATAAAAAATACAAAAATTACATCATTAAGCAGGATGGGAAATTTTTATACTTCATAATACAAAAGATTCATCATCATCAAAAAAAAGAAATAAAAATATGTTTTAGACATAATCTTTTGCATGATATTATCTTTCATAGCTAGTTTCACTTTGGTAAATACAGTGAAACCTTTCAGGAGCGACCTTACTCCATTCCACAGAAAAATAGCAGTTGATGGAGGTTGGATGTTCTTAGGAGTTACCTCCACTGACTTCAAAATTATTATCCAAAGTAAATGATTTTTAGTCAATGTCATTTTCTTAGTGTGGAAGTGCCACTGCTGCTGGCATCTTGAAAAGATGGGTCTCTGAATAAAGTTTAGCATCTATAAAAACAATCCTAACTGATATAATTATGATTAAAAACAAATTTACCAACTATGAATGATAAAGCTATTTTTAATAAATAAACAATAATGCTTTTTGTTTAAATTTGAATTTAATTTTATATCAGAAAAATTAGTTAGCTTTAAAAGATAAGAAGAGTAAATCATTGTTGGCATCTTTTTTATTACACTCTGACAACAACATGGGGTTGTATCATCAAAAAAAGCTCTCTAAATAAGAGCCAGCCTTACACAAATATTTTGAATACATTTTAGCTTATATATTTGTTTTGTTAAATTTTTTCTTTTAATATTTTTTTGTGTCTCCTTATTTGACCTTTTCCGCATTTGGTGCAGATACTTGCACGGTCGCTGAAAGAGGTTGGTTTTCTTCAACACAAAGTCAATGGAAAAAATTCTGTGCCTCCCTAAAGTGGTCATAAATAGAGGTGGTTGCTACAAGAAGTGGTCTTTTTTAAAGGTTTCACTGTTAAACCTTTTGCTTCCTTTCTTTTACATTTTTTTGAAATAGCAAAAAGGTAAATCTAATAAAAAGATAATATCAATATAAATAAAGATAAATATAAAACAAAGAAAATGAAGATATAAATAAGATAATATCAATATAAAGACAATATAAATCTAATAAAAAGAAAACAAGTAATATGCTTATAAAAATATGGTTTTGAACATGAAACACATATTGGTTGATACTAGTTAAATAGCGTATCTTAAGTTTGTTATTAAAACTATAAATCTAATAAAAAAAATCTTATAAGTTTCAAGTTATCACTATTATAATTTATAGTAATCATTAATATTAGCTTAGTCTAGCTGCTTAATTTTTGCTGCATTTTTGTTAATCTAGCTGTAAATTAAATATATTTCTTTTATTTGAAGCTAAATCTAAACTAAATCTAAACTAGAAGCTAAATCTAAACTAATTTCTAAACTAAAATTGTTGGATGGCCATAATATATTGAAAGGTTTTCAATTAAATAAGAAAATCATCCGCCCTTGGCAAAATTAATAATTTAATTTCTGAACAATAAAACGCTATTAAACAAAGTCTACTTAAAGTAAATCAAGTTTGAATCAGGAAATAATACAATACAGGATCAATTCACAACAGAAACTTCATAAAAATATAAGACTTATGATTAATCAGTAAAACTAGCTTTCTTTTTTACTTTTGGAAATTTTCCCAAATTCTTCTTTAGCTTTTTTTGCAAGAGAAACACTTGATTTTATGATGTTTTCACTTTCTTCAACAGTTAAGCCAAGATATTTTTGAAATCCTTGACGACTAGCCTGGTAACTAGCTGTTGTGAGAATATCAGCTCCACCTTCTAAATAGCTATAGATGTGGGGGGAAAAACAGTAAAGATAGTTACTAAAGTACAGTATTATGCTAAACTACATGTTTTGGATTGCTTATAGAAAAGTTAATTTTTTTTTTCTTTTACAGATCTGCCAATATATGTTTTAAACATTTTCAAGACAAAATGTTAGGGATGGTTATATAAAACTGTTTAAAAATAATAAAGGGTGCTATAAGCACAAGTAAAAAGAACAAAATATTTAAAAAACTCTACGGCATTGACACTTTAATATTCTTGAAAAAAAAAACTTCTGCTTCATATTTATAATTGCAATCATGATTGAAAAATCAGTTCTTAAAAACTTATGATGTATGCTTTGAAATTTATTTTAATGAGAATTGTGAAGTGATTTGAAATTTACAAAATGCAATCACAATTTATAAAGTGATTTACAAATCACTCAAATGTGGATTGGATGTGCAATTTCTAAATTACTTTAATGTAAATCGGAATGTATTATATGTAACTAATAATGTGAATTGTAATATGCAATTGATAATGTTTTTTAGCACTGTTTTGGAAATCTTGCCAAACTAAATATACAAAATAATCCATTTGAATTTCCAATAGTTTAAAAAGATTAATGATGCATGCTAGGGCTTTAATGGATTTATTTGATTTCGGCTCTCAGCTTACACCTGTTTTTATAGTTTTCTTCACCATGTAACACAATATGCGGATTAATTGCATCAAAAAGTCCCCCATGAAGGTTAGTTTATACCAATGCTTGATCCAGTTTTTTTGTCTATGGGGTGGGGCTCAAAATTACAAGACTAAGAAGTTAAACATTTATAACTGCAAAACAAACAATGAGCCGGCTGTTCAATAGTGGTTAGAAAAAATATGAAATAAAATGGCAGATGCAAAGTATTTTAAAATGGATTATAATCCAGACAGATATTAATATCTATTTGAATTTTTAAAAAAAACTGTTTGAGAAAACATTGTACTTTTTCTACAATTAGAATAAAAAAGGATTTTCGCTATGCATTTTCAAGCATTAAAGTGGAAATTTTTTATTATTGCTCTGAGTTGACAAGTGTTTTGTTTTTGCTTCCAGTTACAGTTAACTACTTGTAATTTTAAAATGAAAATTTAGTTGGATATAATAGCACATTTTTTCCCATTTTATGTTGATGCTGTTTAAATGAAATACATAATACTTATTATAACCTTTTATGAACATCTACAATAGCTTCAGGATTTTCAACTAACAGTCTTGCACTCCATAATGGATCATTCTAAAATTCATAATAATTCATTCAAAAATAAAAATTTCAATTTTATACCATATAATTAAAATAAGCTAAGAAGAAATTAAGAATATATTTTTGCATCAGCACTTACACCAAAATAATCAAAGATTTAACAACTTCTGGATAGCAGTATGTGAGAAACTGAACAAAAATATCACAGAAGACGAAGTCAAAAGGTACATTTTATAGCTTTCCTTGAGCAAACCTCAACATAAAGAAGAATCCCTTTTAAAATTCTTTTGATACTATGTTGATTATAATTAGAACAAACAGATCAATATCGGAATATCCCTTACTTAACGTGACATTGATTATATCTTTTACAAACTACTCAGAATCAAATATTAAAAATTGAATACATTTGACAAAAACAATTAAAGTTTTTGTACTTTAAGTACAATGCAGCATAAACAGGTAGGGCATATTTGGATTTCATTATCCATTGCACCAACTACAATCGCAAAGTCAGCAAATAGATTTTAAACTTGTAAATTTAAAAAAAAAAAAAAACATGTACAGATTTGCAAAAAGGTAGCTGAGAATTATACACTTCGATTTGGTCCCCTTTTCTTATGTTTTGTTTTTTCTCACCAACTACAATCACCAAGGCACCAAATTGACTTTAAACTGGAAAAAGCTTTTTTCTTTTCTTTTTTTTAAAAAACAAACAAACATATATGCTTGTCTGGGGTGGCTATACCCTTCGAGATGGCCCCTTTCTTTGATGTTTCTTTTCAGTTTCTTGCGAACCACTGCCTGGAAGTTGCCAAGACTTGGAAATTATTTTGCCATTGATCACAATCCGGAAATCTCCCCACTTCCAGTGAGAGGCTCACAAGAAACTAAATAAAATTTTAAAAAAACACTTAATGGGCCCCCCCAACTCAGGAATATTTCCGTATTGTGATCTGTTGCGCCAACTACAATTGCCAAGGTGCCAAATAGATTTTAAACTTGCAAATTTTTTTTAAAAATACATGTAGATATTTGCCCAGGGTGGCTACGAGTTATACATTTCGAGTTGGATCCTTTCTATGATGTTTCTTTAGTTTCTCGCGGGCCGCTGCTCGGAAGTTGCCAAGACTTTGGCAATTATTCCGCCATAGAGATCCCATAGAACTCAGGCGCTTTGGCGATTGTAGTTAGCATGACAAATCACGATACCAAAATATCCCCCCCGCTCAAAACTTCGAACCCCGCTCAAACTTGTCAAAACTTCGCCATTATTTTTCCGATACCTGAAATCATCCCAGATCTCTTAAAATGAAATGACAAACTAAAATAAATTAAAATGAGATGTAATGGTGACAGACTGCGGGAAGAAAAAAAATTTATATTAAAAAATCAAAATGAAAAAAATCTTTAGAATCGTACTATTTATTTTATTAATAATAGTAATCTAATTTGATACTTTTTTTTTTCAATTTCGTCATCTGTAACAAAAACGAGAATAAAAGAACACTTTATCATGTGATTTACTTGCAAAGAAAAACCCTTTCTTTCCAATTCAGTAGCCAAACCACCATCTAAAATAAAAATATCTGTTTGCAATTTTTCGTGCAACATTACTCTCATATGAGAAATTAGGAATCGAAAACAAATGTAAATAACACGTTTTAATTCAGAAAAGATGAAAACAAAACAAAATGACAAATTTCTTTTCTTCTGTTACGTTTTCAGCTGTTTGTTTCTGTTCATGTGAGAAACATTTCACTTTGCATATCGCAGGAAATAGAAATTAAAAAGCTGTAAGCGAGACTTATCTCACGCAGAAAGCTCTCATACTCGTAATTCATTTGTCATTCCCCCGTTCCGTCATTCTTTTCTGCTAAAAATTTTATTTATTACAGAAGAGGAAAAAAAAATTATGTCACAGAAAAGAATATTTTATTCAATACTTATTCTGACAACTTCATTTTTGATCAGGGATATTTTAATATAATCTATTGCTTATCTTTGTTCATTTTTATCAGTTTGTATTGATAAAAATATTAGGAACAAACACGGTTCACCAGTAAATATCGAACATCATCACTTCCATTTTGTAATCGGTTATTTCATTGTTATTTAACCTTTAAAGTGTTACGTCTTATTGCATGGAGCTTCTGTAAGTTCTAATATTTTATTTATGTTAAATTTTTAGAGACATGTTCTAAACAGTGCCGTANTTTTCTACCCTCAAAAAATAGAGTGAAAATAAAGATATTTTTCCACTTTCACTTTACTTTCCCAAATTTCAAAAGGCACCTTATTTGCCCATTCAAGTTAATTTCAGAACAACATAAAGTTTCTTATTAGGGGTATAGCTTCAAAAATGCCTTTCCGTTCCTCTTTTCTGTGAAGCGTTTTTACTCTTTTGAGGAAGGGAAATAAATTCTCGGAAAGAGTCTTTCACCCTATGTTGAAGTCGATTGTAACTACGAAAAAGAAGATTTTAGCAAATCTTCACACAATCTCTTTCATATATATATATATAACTATTTTGAAAAAATGTCGCGTGTTCCCTTCATATGGGGCCCCCTTGACCGTCGGGGCCCCGGGGCGGTGCCCCGACTGCCCCGGCGTAGTTACGGCCCTGGTTCTAAATATAAAGAAAAATAAAAAAGAATAAATATTTCATCAATTTTTTTGAAATTTTATAATGATAAAACGTTATTGACAAATGTAAAGATGCTTTTTTAATTGTATTTGACATGTTTGCTCTTATAAGTGGAGCTTTGTTAAAATGAAAATTTTGAGCAATATAAACATATAACTTAAAGAACTAGTACCAGTTTACTTCAATCATTACAGTTAAATATAAGAATGAGTTCTTAGTACATTAAAGTTGTTATAATATATAGTTGTTTATAATAGAAATAATTTTAAGTATGATCATAGAGTGACTGAAATTAAGTTCAAATTTTTTCATTATCATTATTCTCATACAAGTTAAGAGGTTAGACTTTTTTTTCTTTTTGTTTCTCCTTTTCTTCACTTTTTGCAACAAAGTGTTGTTTGAAATTTTTCTTTGTAAAATTTATTATGATCGTGTTTTTAAATCTTTATCCACTGTTACATGTTCTTATCTAAATAAAGGTTTCACATTTACATGTAAAAATGATTGTCTATTGTATATTAGAAAAAACTTGGATCATTTGTATAACAAACTTAATTAAATTAGCTTATGCTGTTTGCATAAGAATTTGAGAGAGATAAAATTGATTGAATTTTTTAGAATTTATTATTAGTTCAGAAAAGCGATTTGCAATAATATCAGACAAAAGCTTTACAAAGCTGGTTAAAAAGTGTAGCATTGATGAAAGAAAAGTTGAGAAAAATTGAGGATTTGCACCAGCTTATATATATAAAGATTAATAACTCACATTGGACTGAGATGTACATCTTTTTTAATGGTGGTTTGAGCATCCCCCTATTGACCCTTGTTTCAAATCCAACCTTCATCAAATAGACATCTCTTTTACCCATATTTATTTAAAAATATGAAGATTATCTGAAATAGGCTAATAACTGCAGATTATTCTGATTCTAAAGTTTGCTGAAATTTAAATAATGTTTGCTCATTAATAAAAATGAAAACATTTATTTTTAGGGCTTTTGTAGTGATATTTTTTTCTGTTGTTTGAAAACCGGAGAAAATACAGGAAATTGTACACATTTTTTTTAAACTTTATTAGACTAAAATGTTTATATATATCTATGCATTCTAGTTTTTCAAACAGTTTTATTTATGATATTGTGATAATTTATCATTTTATTTCATGCATTCTCTACAACCTTATTAAAAAAGAATTTATGATAATTTTCTGTTCTACGACTAAAATTGTCATAGGGTTTTCCAATGCTAAATAACTGATTCTTAAGATTAAAAAAATAATAAAATGTTTCAAAAATTTGAAATAGACAACAAATAAACAAAAAAGTTTTGCCCAGTTTTCCTATCAAATTTTCTTAAGGGAGAAAAAAAAATCTTTTTTCCCAATCACTGAAAACATAATTAAAGATTATTTTATGTATAATTTTGCTTAAACATATAATGGAATCAAAATTGTACTTAAAATATCTAAAATTGAATATTTTTCAAAGATATCAATAAAATTTCTCTACAATCGAATTTTGATTTAGATTTACTACTAACTTCTGTAATTTTTTTATCATAAATATTTCATTTTAGGTATAAAGGATTAGATAATATCTGGAATCTGAACCATGGCCAAATTTAGGCAGTTTTTACTCCTCATTTGGAAGAATTGGAAACTGCAGATTCGTCATCCATGGGTGACATTACTAGAATTAGGTGTCCCTGCTTTCTTCTCATTGATTCTTGTTCTAGTTCGATCTGCCATTAGCTCTGAATATGTAAGCCAGGTGACAGTCTATGAGCCTTTCGGCATTGACGCTCTACCTCAGAACTTGACACCCTCATTTTTATATGATAAAAACCAATGGACATTGTTATTTACACCAAACACACCTTTTCTGGAAGATTTTATGAAAGGAGTTTGTGATGATTTGAAAGTTGTTCCAAAAGGTAAATGTTATTTGTACTTGAAAATTATAATTTGTGTATTTTACTTTTTTATTTTATAATTGTCGTAGAACATCCGATTCAATTTTTTGGCTTACGATTACTAATGTTCAACTCTGTATCCTTGTAATTTTGAAACCAATCCAGAAGACAAGGAAACTCCTGGATCAAGTATTGGAAGAAATTTACCTTCATGGAGAACTTTTTGATGGAACTAACTCGCATTGCATGGGGAGGAAGACCACAAGAACCTCCCATGGTTAGCCTGACGGTAAGGGGACTCTAACCCATAATCTGTCTACCACTGACGATATTTCACTTCAACGCTATGATCAGTGCAAGCTGGAGACGGAATTCGTATCGACCAGCCATTGCCGGGATCAAACCCGGTTCACCTAATTGGAAGGCAAACGCTCAATCCCCTGAGACATCAGGGCTCATGTATTTTATGTAGGGTGACCCGGGGTAATTCACGATCACTCTGTTTCTGGGGTAAATAATGATCACCTAAGTTTTATTTTTAAAAAAAAAAAATTTTTTAAATTTGAGACATGGACAAGAATTCTTGTACACTTTACTACAGTATCACTACATTTAATTAATAATAGTTTTTTGTTTAATCTGACAAAATAAGTATCTTTTAAACTGCTTTCTGTATTTTCCATTTCAAACATGGGTTTCAAAATGTGCATATTTCTGCAAAGATCCCCCTCCTTCTCTTAATAATAAATATTTTGAGTTACTTTCTTTTTCTTTGATATAAAAGTAGTGTAAGCTTTTGTTTAATTGTTTCACATCTACTGTAAACATTATAATTGATTATTAGGAACTATATCAAATGTTGCCCCCTACAGATGGGGTAATTATTGATCACTGGGGTAATTCCTGATCATTGTCATTTCTTCTCATAAATAGTATATAAAATAGCTAATAAATAGTTAATTGTCTTTTCTTAAATAACAGTTCATATTTATTAAGTGGAACAACTATNGATCAAGTATTGGAAGAAATTTACCTTCGTGGAGGACTTTTTTGATGGAACTAACTCGCATTCGCATTGCATGGAGAGGAAGACCACAAGAACCTCCCACGGTTAGCCTGACGGTAAGGGAACTCTAACCCATGATCCGTTTACCACGGAAGATATTTCACTTCAACGCTGTGGTCAGTGAAAGCCGGACACGGAATTTGTATCAACCATCGCCGGAATCAAATCCGGCTCACCTAATTGGAAGGCAAACGCTCAATCGCCTGAACTATTGAGGCTCATGTATTTTTTGTAGAGATTGTGTTTGTTTTGTTTTTTCTCATCATTATCATCCTTTTTTCTATATTCTTCATTTATATTTTTGATTAATCTAAAAGTGCCTCCCAGCTAGTGTTTTTGAATAAGTTGAAGGAAATTTTATTGCTTATCAAAATTTTTTAGATCCTCTTAATATTCTTTTATTTAAATTCTCTTTTAATTAGCTTTTTATGACAACTATTTTTTTTTTTTTTTGAGTAATGCAATGAATTTTTAAAAAAATATTTTCTTTAATTCTTTTTAATAAATATCTAAATTTTCAATTTGAGCCAGATCCTAGAGTATTTCGATATTTTTTTTTTTCCTTTACTTAATTCTTTTTATTTTCACATGATTCTTTAAAATGTGGAATTTATTTTGATATGAGCACTAGAAATCACTCACCTGAATATTCACTATTTGAGGTGATAATTCTATCATTTTTTCAATGAATTATTCCGCAGTTATCACTTCTTATTCTTGAAAACTTTTTTTTAAAAAATCTCATTCTTTTTAATGCAACATTTATTATAATGTGTGAATATCAAAACATAAATTTAATTAGTCCCTTTTCAACGTGTGCGATGTTGTAAATACACTTGGTTTAATCATTAGTTAGTATGCATGAAAAGGACAAACTTTTATTTATTTTCTTTGTACAAAAAGATTCCAAAAAATTAAGTACTAAAAGAACTGCATTAAAAAAATGTCAGATAATTTCATTTTCTAGCAAATATCTGTTCTTGTTATGGTGTATTAAACTTGAAACATCTTAAATTCCTTTTAAATTAAAGAAATGTAAGATGGCCCCTAGTTTCTTAACTCCAGGTGGAATAAAAGGTGATCAACATTAAATAGGCTATTCTGTTGACCTATTTTGCTAAGCAATTATGATTGCTTAAAACTTACATTTTATTTTTGGAAATTTATCTTTTATCTGTAATGCACTATTTTAAATGTTGTTTGTATTTTTGTTTCCTAGTTCATATATAATGTATGCCATACTTAAGACAATCAGTATTAAGTATGGCATACATTATTTTCTTTTAAACTAATCCAGCATTTTAATTTATGAATAACAATATTTTTTTTCACTCACAATTTATCAAACTTTTTTTAATGTCTGTTTTTATTTGAAAAAAAGGACTTATTGTTTAGAGTTGACTATAAGACTAAAGATTTTCATTACATTAATATTTTATTATTATTTTTTTTTGCATTTTAGGATTTGATAATGAAACTTCGCTTGAAGAATATTACTCAAGAGCAACAGGATCATCACTTGCAGGTGTTGTATTTGATGACACGTTGAAAGATGGTCTTAATTTTACAAGCAATTTGACATTTACTGTAAGAAAATTTCATTCTATTTGTAACTCTTCAAAAATTTTACAAGCAATTTTATATTCTCCATAAGAACATTTTAATTCTATTTATAATTCTTCAAAAATTTTACAAGCAATTTGATATTTCCCATAAGAGCATTTTCATTCTATTTATGATTTTTCAAAACTACTTCATACTTGAAATTTCAATGCTTTTTTTTTATATATATGATGTAGTAAAATCTAAAATAAAAAAATTCATAAACTTATAGTGTGTTTTAAAATTTAGAATTAAATTTCTCTGTTTAATTCTTATTTATATTTTTCTTTTCTTTTTACTGCTCTCTTATTTCATTGTCTTAATGGAATGGACAATTTAATACAAACATTGCTCTGTTAATTTCATAGGTAGCTATTTTTCTCTGTGCAAGCATCATAAGAAATTTTCACATAACTAGTTTTTAAAAGTAGAAGTACTTGAAAAAGTTGAACTAATTACATTCAGAAAAAAAAACTTAAAACTTTAGTTTTTCTTATCTTTGATCTTTTGATTAATGTAGTTGAATTTTGATACTACAATTCTGTTTAAGAGTTTTAATCATAATCTTTCAAAATATTCTAATAGTTTGGACGTTCTAAATTTTTTAAAGTTGCTGCATTCAAAATAAAATAAAGAATTCATTTTTACTTTTAAATTGACATAGCAGAGTTCACATGATTTTGTTCAACCTCTGTAATTTATCTAATTTGTTTAAAATATTAATTTTTTTACTTAGATTCGTCCACGATCTGCAGAACCCCCTAATAACCCTCTTCAATCAACCATAAAATTTTGGTTTACGGACAGAACCTTTCCTTTGATGCCAGCTTTGGGACCTAGAAACAGAGAAAACACTTGGGGAGGAAATCCAGGTAAAAAAAAAATTTTTTTTTTTTTTAGTGTTGAGAATTTTTTATTGTTGATGTTACTTGTTTAATTCATTAATGTAAATTGTAAGAATCAACCATTTGCCCTTACTTGCTTTCAATGGATAGCAGAGAAATTGTTATATAAATTTAAACTTTGTATTTGCTTTGATAATCTAATTAAAATTTAATTTTATTATATTCAATGTCGGTGTGATGTCACAATAGGCATTACATATTTCCTATCTTTTAAAATTTCTTTTATTTCTTAAACTTATTTTTTTAATCATTCTTAATTAAATTATAATTAAATTAAATCAATTAGTTAATTTTCATTAAAAGGGAATATAAAATATTTTTACTATTTTCTTATCGATCAATGCAACTGCTGACTTTTTATTTCAATACAAATGTAGACTCATTAATTCACTGTCGCACCTAAACGAAAACAAAAATCTATTTATAACTCTTTATTCTTAATTTCATACCACAAATATGTTTCAGTTACATCGTTATACTGATTCTCACAGTCTTGTTGGCGATTCGCGATCATCAACGTATTTTCAAATCTAATATTAATTATTTGGGGTTGGCTTTGTTTTGGTTATGTTATCTTTCAATAAATCACCAAACTTGGATCTCTTTTCATGCTCCTAACTGTCCGTTGGGAACATCAATCACTTTTTAATTTGGCTATTTGATTAGGCAGGTCATGGGAGATTTATCTTCCATGGCCTGTCCTTATTAATATTATTATGCAAAATTTATTCAACTTAGAAAATCTTATGGATAAAATTATAATTTGTATCTCGAGCTCTACAAATACCACTAAATAAAAGTTTTATCATAATTTATGATCCAGTTTTCATCTTCATTTTCAACTGTCATTTTTCATTATCCAGTTTTTCATCACTACTTCAATTAGTCAATTATATCACCTAACTCCGTCATTATAGTCGGGTATCCTTTTAATAATTCAACTTATAAATAATAATAATAATATTTTTTTACACTCTGTTTTATGACTTAATGAAAGGTAATGTAAAATATTAAATTTATAATATTTTTTTATTTAGGTTATATGTCAAAGGGTTTTCTACCCATACAGCATGCAATATCTAAGAATTTTATGAAGTTATTAGATCCAGATTCTCTTCAAAAGTTGGATTTTGATGTTCTGATGAACAGATACCCATATCCCCCTTTCCTGGATGATAGATTCGTTATTGCCTTGTCTCTTTTTTTCCCAATGATCATCTGCTTCAGCTTCATCTATCCTGCTGCAAACATTGTTAAAAATATTGTAGTGGAAAAGGAGAATAAAATCAAAGTAAGTCTAAGGCTATCAATATATATAGTTCACTACAACTCAAGAGGTTAGAGATTTCAACTGGGTTTTCACAGGGTCATAAAAAACTTGATAAACCTAAATTTGTTGGGGAATTTTGATTTTTAGAGGAAAGTTATTGAATAATACAATTTTTAGTGAAAATTTGATTAGGTTTTGTAACAAGCCTGGAAAGTAACTAATTTTAAAATTGACAGTTACAATATATCTAAATATATGATGTTCAAAATATATAAATTGATATAATATACCTCTAAGTATTTTTATTATTTCTTATAGAATTTCTTTTAGAATTATAGAAATTAAAATAATTTGTGAAAAATACTTCTTATTTAAAAAAAAAATTAATTTTTCTAAATTTACCCATAGTTGCAGTTCAACTTCATAACTTTAAATTTCTAGTTCACTTTAAGACAGAGGTGTCAAACTCAATTTTGCAGAAGGCCATATATTAAATTTAGAATGTATAGGCAGGCCAGATTCAAATAAAAAAAATGTACTGAACTATTATAACATTTTATTTATCTAATTATATGGTATATAATATACGGTTGTTAAAAATCATATCAAAGTTATAAAAGATGGTAAATATTTTGAGCTCAAGAATCCAGATACCTGACTTCTCTTGTTCTCAGAATGCGTGCTGCATGATTTTTTAATATCCAAACTCTTTAAATTTTTCTTTTAAAATACTGTCCGATTGAAGATTTATCAACTCCATTTGCAAATGAACTAGTGCCTGTGAGGCTTCAAAATTGAATGGATTGTGGAAAATTGGGAATTCCGTTTCATTCATTTTGTAGAAGTCTTCGAAACGATTGTTGAATTCCGTGATCAGATTTTGCAGAAGTTGAGAATAGTGATCCTTTTTTTTTTTTTGGTTCACTGTGCCAAATGATTTGATCCAAAGTTTGATTTTTTACCTGATTTTCCCACAACCTCAACTTTGTTTCAAAGGCTTGAATACATTTGAATGACAATCAGATTTTTACCCTGTAACTTTACATTCAGATCAGTCAAGTGTTAATTCATATCTACCAAAAAGACACAATCAATCCACCAGTCATTGTCATAATCAATTGGGTTACCTTTTTCTTACATGAAAGCTTGAATAGGGTCACGTAATGCAAAAAATCCTTCTAAAACTACTCCTCGACTGAGCCAACGAACTTCAGAGAAATAAGGGACATCAAAAAAATTTTCGTCCAAATCTTGTAAAAACTGCCTGAACTGTCGGTGATTCAGTCCTCTGCTCCTTATAAAATTTACTATTTTAATTATAGGTAGCATGACATGGTCCATTTTTAAATGCTTGGATGCCAATGATTCCTGATGAATATACAGGGAAATCCCACAAAATTCCCTGATGTTTTCTGTTTTAATTTAGTTACAATACCCGAATGATTGCCACCCATGGCAGGAGCGCCATCCGTAGTTGTGCTGCTAAGTATATTCCAGTCAAAGATTTCGCCTGTTGCTAAGAAATGTTGTTACTGTCTATCTCTCTCGCTTGTCTATGCCCGCGCTGCCCTTGAAATTACTTATAAATGTAGTGTGCACATTTTAAAACTTCCGTAGAGGAATAGAGTGAAGTCTAAAAGCNAATTATATGGTATATAATATACGGTTGTTAAAAATCATATCAAAGTTATAAAAGATGGTAATTATTTTGAGCTCGAGAATCCAGATACCTGACTTCTCTTGTTCTCAGAATGCATGCTGCTTGCTTTTTTAATTCCGGGTAGTTATCCAAACTCTTTAAATTTTTCTTTCAAAATACTGTCCGATTGAAGATTTATCAACTCCATTTGCAAATGAACTAGTGCCTGTGAGTGGATTGTTGAAAATTGGGAATTCCGTTTCATTCATTTTGTAGAAGTCTTCGAAACGATTGTTGAATTCCGTGATCAGATTTTGCAGAAGTTGAGAATAGTGATCCAATTTTTTTTGGTTCACTGTGCCAAATGATTTTAAATGAGGGAAATGATCCAAAGTTTGATTTTTTACCTGATTTTCCCACAACCTCAACTTTGTTTCAAAGGCTTGAATACATTTGACTGACAATCAGATTTTTACCCTGTAACTTTACATTCAGATCAGTCAAGTGTTAATTCATATCTACCAAAAAGACACAATCAATCCACCAGTCATTGTCATAATCAATTGGGTTGCCTTTTTCTTACATGAAAGCTTGAATAGGGTCACGTAATGCAAAAAATCCTTCTAAAACTACTCCTCGACTGAGCCAACGAACTTCAGGGAAATAAGGGACATCAAATAAATTTTCGTCCAAATCTTGTAAAAACTGCCTGAACTGTCGGTGAACCTCTTCTCTTTATAAAATTTACTATTTTAATTATAGGTAGCATGACATGGTCCATTTTTAAATGCTTGAATGCCAATGATTCCTGATGAATATACAGGGAAATCCCACAAAATTCCCTGATGTTTTCTGTTTTAATTTAGTTACAATGCCGAATGATTGCCACCCATGGCAGGTGCGCCATCCGTAGTTGTGCTGCTAAGTATATTCCAGTCAAAGATTTCGCCTGTTGCTAAGAAATGTCGTTACTGTCTATCTCTCTTGCTTGTCTATGCCCGCGCTGCCCTTGAAATTACTTATAAATGTAGTGTGGTAGAGGAATAGAGTGAAGTCTAAAAGCTCTGAAAAACACGATTCTTCTTTCTGTAACATATCTCGATCGCGGGCCGTATTGATACAAACCGGGGGCCGTATCTTTGACATGACTGCTTTAAGAGGTTGTGAATACTAAATTTTTGAAAATTAAACTTTGTGTATACATTTTAATTCTTAATCACACGTAAAGTATAATAAGGCTAACTGTATGACTGATATGTGACTTTAATAAGCTATGTTTCATCTAGATTTTAAATAGTTCCAGTTTTCGTGCAAAATATTAGGATTAAAGAAGTTATAAAAAAATGTTTTCTGTAATTTATATAATTATATTAGTTTTTCTGTAATTTATATACCTGAGTGTTGTAAGACCTACGTGTTAAACCTAGTGAAATTTATTTTTATAAAATTTAGTATTGACGATGTTTTTTTTATCAAAATGTAAGTTTTGTTGCTTAATGAGTGGAGCNTTTCTGATGTATCGCTTGGAATAAAAGTTGCTGTATCGGTTTGCCGATATAGGCGTTAAATCGATATGTCGCGATATATCGATTTATAGCCCAGTCCTAATTGTTACATATAATAGTAAATATGTAATCTAGAATTTTTTTATTCAAATTTTCCTGGAAAATCAGGTGAATTTATTTCTAAAATTGAGTGTGAACCCTGTTCAATGATAGTTTGATAATTACATTTGCATACAGGCTTACTGTATGAAATACAGTTTTTACAAGCTTGCAACTTCATGCACTAAACTCTTTGTTAATAATTCTTTTGTTGCTTTAGAAGCATGTCTGCCGTTTTTTGATAAAGATATCTCTGACAGTACTACTTATTTTTATGATATCAAAAAGGTATACTTAATTATTAATGTTCGTATTTTCAGGAAGCCATGAAGATGATGGGTTTAAGCAAATGGTTGCACTGGACTGCTTGGTACCTAAAGTATCTTTTGTTCCTCTGCATTTCCTGCATGATCATAACCTTCCTACTTTGCCTCAAGTTTAAAGATATAGCTGTAATTAATCAAAGTGATCCATTCCTAATATTCTTATGGCTTCTGGTATACACTGCAAGTTTTATTTGCTTCTGTTTTCTGCTCAGTACCTTATTCAATAAAGGTAAGGGTTGTTTAATTCATTTATTTTTTTTAAAACTACATTAGAGCCTTTTCTTCAAAGTATTTCTAACTTAACTTACTTTAGAGAATGGAAATCTTTAGTTAATATGGATTCATCCCTATAATCCCTGTGGCAGAATTTTTTCAGGCTTTCTGCGACAAGCTTCCCTAGCACTAATTTATTTCAAGATACTTTTATATAACAATTACGAGTTTAAAGTAACAGACACATTGTGTTTACAGAAGAAAGTATAGAATAAAAATGTACACATTTTTTTAATTCTAATATTATCGGAGATATTCTCTCATTTTTCAGGCGGAAAAATGAACTAATTATTTCCCCTTTCAAATATTGTTAATCATTACACAAATTAAAATTCATAAATAAATTAAAGTTTGTACATAAATTGAATTATTAAAAATCGTAAAATCCATGCAGTAACTCCCAAAATAAAAATTCTGAATCACACTAATAGGACTCTTTAAGAAAGAGATACTCAAATAAGTGTATGTAAAATATGGTGTTCTTTAAAGGAAGGAAAGAACATCATCTTTAGAGCGAATTATCTTTTAAACATTTATGATTTTCTGAATTTTTATGTTATTAATTTGAAATTCTTGCTGATCCAGTCATTACCGATTTGTTTTTTTTTTTTTTGTTTTTTGAATCTCAAATAAGAATGGGAAAATCATGATTATTTCCTTCCTCTATGATGCTTTCTTTCCTCTCTGATCAAGAACGACATCTTTTTAAAAAAAATTCCTGCTGAAAAGAGAAAAAAAAAAATTTTCCAAAAATTGTGCAGAAAGGAAAACCAAAATTTTTCCCATCCCAAATGAAAAATCTTTCTGCAAGAACTCTGTAATGTGCTGTGACTATTTTGTACTTTAATTCTGAATTGTTGGTATTATACCCGCTCTAATATTTTTCTGTCCGAAAACATCTGCGTCTTAATCGGCCAGTAGCGTATCTCTTTTTCCCTCACACCCTTTTTATAAACCAATGAGAGTCAGACATGCTCTCACACTTAAAGATAGCGAATGTTGTTCTCTCGGTCCTTTCATTATATATATTTCGTTATTGTTTTAATGAATTTGTTTAATTGGACTATCTTTATTCTGCATCTTTTAAATTACTTTCTACGCAACATCATAACCAGCCTCTACAATCCTATTACAGTAGAGCGCCGATTATCCAAACCCTTATTATCCGAACGTCCTATTATCTGAACTATGTCCGAATTCTTCTTTTTTTTCAAGTTTAGAATGCTTTTTTACTTATCGACAATTTTTCTAAATTTAGAAGAATAAATAATATCCGCTACACTTGATGACCATATTTAAATTACAACCTTTTTTAGCAGTTTTCTTATCGTAGCCATATATACAGTTAAACCTACATACCCCTTTAGCCCTCTTCGACTGAAAATTATCTTCCAAGAATGCGAACTTCATTTTGACAGTCTAGAACGTCAAAATGATGTTGATCCAGTTCAGTTGATTTATTTAAAAAGAATAAAGGGTATGGCTGCTCTAAAAAGAGCATCTTCTTTGAAACAAAAGTCTTTTCTGGATTTCTTTTGTAATGGAAAATAAAGAAAAATGTGGTAAAATCAGTAATTGACAAAAAAATTCTAAAAAGCTGAAATATGATAAAGAAAAATTCAAAATGAGAAAAAAAAAGTTTACAAAAATAATTCAATAAAAAATATTTAAAAATTTTTAAAAAAAATTCTTTTAAATACGCAAGAGCTATTTTAGATAGTACTGTCAGTCCTAAGCCTGGAAAAAGTGAGAAGGGAACTCAGTGCATAAATAATAATCATTTAAACTAGATTTTAAACAACTTTCCAATTATCCGAACCTTTGTTCGGCCCCAAGCACTTCGGATAATCGGCACTCTACTGTATTTTAATGTATAAATATATGTATATATTCATTCATAATTTAATATTTCTTTGTCCTTTAGGCAATTCTGCTGCTGCTGGTGCCGGTGTTATTTGTTTCTTAACTTTTGTACCATATTTCTTCATTGTGCCAAGATACCAACAAATGTCCTATGCAATAAAAATAGCAAGTTGCCTTTTACCAAATTTGGCTCTTTCTGTGGGCTCAATTGTGCTGACTACTGCAGAAGCTATAGGTCTGTGTTTTCTGAAGGTCTTATTTATTTATTTTTTATGTATTCTATCTCTCATATATATTTCTTGATAAGTTGTCTTTAAATTAAATTTTTAGTCAATGATTCAAGATTTTTTTTCAAAAATATTTATTACCATCATGCTGCGAAGAATTATCTGTGCTTCAGAATGGTCAAATAAATTAGCAAATTTTAAAAGTTTCGAAACTTTTTTTAAAATTCTTAATTTAGCAAAAGTTTTCTACTGAGATAAAAATCATTGAAATCAATAAATAATTCTTTATTTTTACAAAATTTTAAAGGCCTGAAATTGTTTTGTTGAAATAACTTTTCTCACATCAAAAAATTGAATCAGAAATGCGTTTTATTTAAACAAAACTGTGGCTTCTCTTAATTTAGACATTTTGCACCATTTTCATAATCAGTGTAAAGATCTTTAGCTAAAGATAGGCGAAACTTTACCTTACAGTCATGAATATTTAAAACCAAATAAGTAACATATTATTTGTTGAAAATGTTCACATGTGACAAGAGAACTTTTAAAAAACAAAATTCTTTTTTTGACAATTGTTCAGTGCAAAGTGCCAGCATGAGAATGTATTTGACATACATTTTGTATGATATGCCAATGTGAAGAATAAAGTGTGGTGTGTATCTTTATATACATCAATAAAATTTCTTTATTAGAAGTTCAATAATTTGTTGTTTTATTGTAGGAAATGGCTTACAATGGGACAATTTTTCTAGCCCTCCTTCTGCTGATAGTGATTTGGCTATGTCCACCATTTTGGTTATGCTTGTTATAGATGGAATCATCTATCTGATATTGACTTGGTACATAGATGCAGTTTATCCTGGAGAATATGGTGTCCCAGAACGATGGTACTTCTTTATTACTGTAAGCATATCTCATGTCAACAATTTTTCATTCTATTGAATCTCAGTTTCTTAACTTTTCTGAATTTAGAAACCCCGTGGCAGGATCGTGACATTGTCGCAGAATATTTCAGAGTTCTTGCAGAAAGAATTTTCTTTTAGGAAGTAAAGAATTTGGTTTTTCAGAAGTAGTGAAGAATTTTGTATTTCTGCAGAAATTTTTTATCTCTAAAATTATAATTAAAAGATGCCTTTTTCACACAGTGGAGGGGAAAGAAATGTTCGTGATTTTTCAATTCTTATTTGAGAAGAATGAAAATATAAAATGATAAAGTAAAAAGTTTCTTTTCTGCAGAAATGTTGAAATAATTTTTTTTTCCCTCCAGAAATCATTAGCCCGTTGATGTGCTCATTTTGCACCGATGTTCTCGTTAATCCATGAGGTATTTCAATCTGTCTTTAAGGCAGTTATTGCTACGAATTTTTGCTTTGTTTTTTTCTTTTCGAAATCTCGATGTCTTTCATTGCTTAGTTGTTATTTATATTCTCACGAATTTTTTAAATATACCGATTTTATTATGGCACGCAAAATTCGAATCGCAGATTCTAGGAATCATTATTTGACTCGGTCGTTTTGTGCTGATACTCTCGTTAATCCATGCGGTATATTTAATTCGTGTAATTTTGCTGTTGAACTTTTTTTGGTAATCACTGCTACGAATTGCAAAATTTTAAATTTTTTTTGAAGTGATGATTTACAAAATGCGAAAAAGGAAATAATTAGTGTGTTTTCTAGTTTAGTAAAATGTGAGAATCTCGCCCATGATATTAGGATTTTAAAAAATTACATATTCATTTGAAAATTGGATACAATATTATTTTATTCAAATAGGGTTTTTTTTTGTAAACACAACGTTTTTGTTACTTTGAATTTAGTTAGTAACGTGTATATTTGTTATTATTAAAAGCATCTTGCAGAAAGATATTAGTGCTAGAGAGGTTTCTCGCTGAAAGCGCCAAAAAAATTCTGCCACAGGGTATAGTAAATGACTTTGTAAATTATCTTCTATAAAAGAAAAAATCTGAAATTAGTGTTATAAATGAAAATTTGCCTAACCAAATTATTTATCCATTTTAAATCAATTTGTTCTTTTAACATTTCTTCAATTAAATGAGATTTTTCTGTGTTTTTATCTAGCGATCATATTGGTTTGGAAATGCCTCTAGTATCTTTGACCTAGAGCAGTTTTATAATTCGGACGTCAAACAGACAGAATTTTTTGAAAATGATCCTGAAGAACTCATGCCTGGTATTCAGATTTTAAACCTTACTAAGGTATTGTTTTTGAAAAGTTTATGATTTTAATTCATTCTTGTGTTTTTTATTTTATCTGCACAATTATCTTATAATAATACGCATGATCATAAATGTTTTTTTGTTATTTTATTTCCCCCTTGAAAAGACTTTGATATTTATTTTTTGCAATATTTTTTTTTAAAAAAAAGCAAGAGGATATTCAATGGAAATTTTTTTTTTCTGAGAAGAAACTTGGGAAACATTTTTAGTTTTGAAGAAAATGCACTTAAAAAAATCAGACTAATCTAAATCTATTAAACTCACTGCTGAACAGAGTGATTTTTATACAAATTTGTCCAACTAAATCTGCAATTTATAAATTAAAATTTTGCAATTAATTATATTAATGCATTTTATAAAACTCATAGTTATTTAAATGACACTAATTGCGATTAATCTGTGTTTTTTGATTGTTTATACCTTGTATCACATTTTTTTAAAACCATAAAAAACTGATTGTGAAAGTTAAAGTTGTATACTATAATGGGAGGAAAAGTTAATTTAAAAAAATTAAATAGAATGTATTAAAATCTTTTTTATTTATTCATTTATTAATTTTTTAACAATCGATCGTAATTTAGTAAAATGTGCTCAATTAAATAATTAATTTTTCACAAGAGTTGTGCAAGCTAAACTTTTCTCTATCTATTACATAGTGATAGTGAAAAACCATTCAGATTATAAAACAGGGTGCATAACATTTTTAAAAAGTGCTTAAAGGTGCTTATTTATATTTGCGTTTTTTAAAAGCCCTTAAAGGTTCTTTTTTTATTCGGGTTTGTAAAAAGTGCTTAATTTTCTATCTTTTAAAGAGATTTTTTTTCTACAGCATGTCAATTGTCGTTATAAATTGCAAAAAGTTCATAATTTTATGTTTATAAATTAAAAACTTTAAAAAATAGAAAAAAGTAATTTTTATCACTGTACAGACCCTAATTATTATTTTTTTTAAGGTGATTAAAAATATTTTTCGAGTGCTTAAAAGGTGCTTATTTTTTGTGGAAAAATCTGCCTTCCCACCCTGTTAAATAAACATTTATTTTTCAGGTGTATGGTAAAGCTGCACCTGCTGTGAATAACATAAACATTAATATGTTCAGAGGACACATAACTGCTCTGTTAGGGCATAACGGTGCAGGGAAAACTACCACAATATCCATGCTGACAGGTATATAACACAATCACTATTCAGTTGGTAGTTTTATGCAAAATTCTGATATTTTAAACTCATTAAAAGAATTGTACGTTAATTCGTTTAGTAAAATTTAAAAATCTCTAATTGCCAATTCTATGTCATGATTGAAGCTACTAAGACTAAAATAATTTTCTCCAAACCAAATGAGCATTTTAAATGCCTCAACATCACCTTTCAACTGTTGTTTTCCCTGCAAAAAAAGGGAGAAAGTTTACATCCTTGTTGTTCAATAAGGGATCTGTATATTTTGTGCAAATATGCCTAAATGTGAAACAATAGTCTCTAACAATGGTCACTTAATAACTTCTAGCCAAAACGATAACCATTCTGAAAAACTTTCAATACCTTGGACAGATTTCAGATATACTTATTTTAATGTACAAAAACCATAAAACTTTAACCATTGTATTATTAATACTTTTTTCGATTAAAATTGTCAACAAAAAAAAAACTCAGCTAAATTTTAGACTTTAACCTGTGTTATTTCTGTTACTTTTCATTTTATTAACTTCTAATATTGTAGAAACACTTTATCAGAATGATAAGTAAAGTAAATGTAGGTCATAAGTAGGAGAAAAAAAACTAGTGTTCTCCAAAAATACTAAGGCTTAAAAAATTAAACCATCAGTAAAAGCAGTACTTGGAAAGCGCTTTAATAAAAAAAAAAATTTACATTCCTTTGAATATTTAAAAAAAAAGTTTTTATTTGTATTTCAAGGGCTGATTAATGAAAATTTTGTATGAATGCTAGATAGTAATTGAATTTTACTTACTCTTTGATCTTAAGATTAAAATGAAAGTATATGTGATGCTTTGATTTCATAATAAAGTTATTCTTATATTTTTATCTTTTCAATTCTTTTAGGTTTAATCACCCCTACCTCTGGTACGGCTATTGTGAATGGGTGTGATATTCGTGAAGATATGGATAGTGTTCATTCAAATCTAGGAATTTGTCCACAACACGACATTCTATTCAATGAATTGACTGTAGAAGAGCATTTATATTTCTTCTGCAAGGTTTTTTTATTTATTTATGTACTATGTATTTTATCATACGCATACATTTGAAATGTCTTTGGATAAGTGTCTAAAAGTATAGATACTGATTAAACATTTATATTGGCTTCATTTAAAATAATTTCTTAACTAAATTTTTTGTCCGAATGCTAAAATAGGTTCTTTTGTAAGTTATTGAAATAAAAATGTTAAAAAATAACAAAATTCATGAAAATTTTATGCTTTAGACTTCTATATTTCATGTTTTCTTGAGACAACAAAAATAATTAACTAGGAGATAATATCTTAAAGTGAGAGATAGGTTTGGTTTTTCAGCTCTCCGCTTTAAATTCATGCTTCATTATCTTTTATAAATCTTTTCAAAGATTTTTTTTCCCTTAAGAATATTTAGTTCAAAAATATTGTCAACTGACTGTAAAATTGACTAGTTTAAAAATTAAATTTGGAACTTGATTCAACAAAAGACTGCGAACTCCACAAAAATATTTTTTTTTTCTTTTAACTTTTAATTGTTCTTCAAATTTTAAGCATAATAAGGCCTCTCAATAAAAATATTATATTATTTTTACCGTGGTGAGAATGTTGACTGGTTATTGTGGAGGGTTAACTACTGTGGGAAAGAAATAATCTTATTTCACACCCAATTCTAATCTTTGTTCCACGCTGAACGTTATTCACTCTCTTCTGCTTAAGGTTTCTCAAGAAAATGAAGACAAACTTACTGTGATTTTCAAAGGATATGTTTTTATTTATGAATCAAGTAGATGTCTGCTCGCATTTTTTGGGTTTGGCAAAGGACGTCTTCAAAAATCAAGATGTGATAATTGACTCTTCCCATGTGCTTGTAATACACAATATTACAGGAACTATGGAAAGTTTATATCATTAAATTTAGGATTCTTCATTTAGTGATTCATCGAAAATTATGTAATGATGATGTCTGTTAAATAAAATATATATAATTCTAAGAGCGTCTGAGGGAATCGGTAAAAAATCCAACTTCCTTGGTCAAATGTATTGGAAATTCTGGACTAACTCTAGGGTAGCAAATGTATTGGAAATTCTGGACTAACTCTAGGGTAGCATTCTATCTTCTGTGTACGGCAGTTACAGCAATCACCACAATTAAAACACTGAGCACTAGGCCCTTGGGAAATCCACAAAGGCTTGAGGCACCCAAGAGAGCGTTGCCATGGGTAAAAGCCCAGTGGTCATTTGCATACACATCATCACAAGTATTGCTTATAAATTTTAATGTTTTTATTTATTTTTAATTTGATTCAAAGCGAAAACAAATTTGATTTTTATTTTCCTTACAAAAAAGTCTGAAATGAATATCGATGACATAAATTTAGTTCTTACTCTGTCTATCAATTTTTCCGACCTCCTTCTATATCTGAAAAAAGTCTTAACACCAAAAGTAAGAGAAATTTACGAGTATAGAATTTCATATTATTTGCACTGTCAAAACTATGTGCAAAACCTTGGAATTTTACTTTAGAGATCAGTATTAATAGTAAATATATGAATTAATTTAAGATGCATTCTTAGGTAATCTAAAATTTCATTATAATATTCTTCTATGAAGCATTTATAACAAAGTGATTTACAGGCAGAATAATCTTAACTACATATCGATAATTTGGCATCTGAAGTTCTCGTGGTTACTTGACAGCATTATAAGTGTGTACTGTTTTTATTGGGCAGATATTTTGATTTAATTGCTGTATTTAAAAAAAAAAAATTTTTTGTTTTCTATTTCATTTTAGCTGAAAGGTTATTTGTCTGATTTGGTGAACTCTGAAATTGAGCGTATAATTTCTTGTTTGTCACTGGAACCGTACAGAAAAACTCAAGTTCAGTATCTTTCAGGAGGATGGAAACGTAAAATCTCTGTTGGAATTGCTTTTGTTGGTGGATCAAGAGTAAGTACTTGTTATTATATTTCCATCACTTTTATTTTACATTTCCATGTTTTTCTAGGTTTCCACACGTTTCCTAGGTTTTTCAGACTAAAATGAATGCATTTTTCAAAATTATTGTTTTGTCTTTTTATAGAAATTCTATTCTGGTCTTGTACTAGAATTTTTTTTTCTTTTTCTATTCTACTTTTAAATCAATTCAAAAATGTTTATTTTTTGATCTCATGAGAATGTTCAACTTCTGTTAGTCAAGTGTAAAGTAATTTTTAAAAAATTCTATAAGTCAAATCAATTGATAATCTATTGCAAATGAAAAATATTCCTGTTGATTTGAATTCTTAGTTAAATTTGTGTGTTAGGTTTTTCATATTTTATTGCCCTTTATTGGTTTTAAAATGCGTACAATTTCCCTTAAAGGGGGCATTTATATATTATGCAATACTTTACTTATAATTTTTTATATTTTTCTACAGTTTAAAGTTTTTTTCCCTTTTTATATTGGTAGCTTTCTAAAAAAAGTTTATTCTTGCAGAAAAAGAGTTTATTTTCACAATTATGTTGTTAGATTTTCATCCAGTGCAACTGCGTTTTAGATTGTTATTTGTCAAAAGTGCTGCCAAAAGTATTATATGTTTAGTTACTTACTAAATAATAAGAGTTTGAAACAAATCAACATTTCTTTATGTCAATGTGCTATTTTTTGTTCTGATTGTTTGAGTCTAGCCAGTCTATGTAAAAAGAGTTATAATTTAAAAAAAGAAAGTATTTTCAACTGCGTTATTTAGGGAGGCAACCAAGCTTTATTCTCTATTTTTACAATAGTTAATAAAAAAAATTTATGTATTCAAATAGCACCATTTTTAAAAACTTTCATTGTGAAGTTTTAAAATGTGTTATTGTTTACATCTAAAATTCTCTAAAACATGGGTAGAAATTTCTATTTAAAGGGATAAAATAGAGCAATAAGTCTAAATTTTTTCTCAAGACCTTTGGTGCAAACTCCTTTGGCATATTTTGAAGATTTATGAACTGCTCCCGAATAAAAAAAAAAATTAAGATAAAAATTAGGCTAAAAAAAATATGAAAATAAGTTTTCTGATTTTTTTTAGAAGAAATTAAATTTCTAAACTTCATTTTTATTTTATTCTCTTTTATCATTATTTATATTTTGAGCTTAACAGTTAATTCACATCTATTGTTAAAAAAAAAACTTTTAATAAATATGTAAATTATTTAAATATTTTCTTTTTGTGAAAAATAGTCTTACATGCTTTATGTATTTTTTCATGATTTAAGTTGATAGGTTCTTATACTTTCTTCTTTATTCTTTTACTCTCTCATAATATCTTATATCATAATTTCTTACGCTCTCGAATCTTAAAGAACAATTAAAATACTGAAATATTACAGATGTAAAAGAAAAGGCATGAGATTATTAAATAACTCTTTGAAAAAGTCACCATAACACAAAGTTTTTTCTTTCAAAATTTAATAGCATTTTAGAAAAGAATTTTTAAAATAATTTTGCAATTCTAAATCTATTATCTAAAAACTATTTTCATATCAAAATAGTAAAATTTATTTTTTTAGCTTTATTCTTAAGTTTAAATATTTTGTTAAGCTCCGAACAGGGAAAGATGATTTGCTTATTTTTGCTAATAAAGGGAAGGAGTATGAGCAATGTTTATGCACATCAAAATCCCTTTATTTTCAAAAAAAATTTTTTAAAGAAAGTTCACGTGGAAAAAGTTTTAAATTTGAAATAAAAGCTAAATTCTAAGTAAAAAAATATACTGAAAATAAAAATATTTTGAGCACAGAAGGAAAACATGAGAGATTCTTACAGAATATTTTCCTCTAAACTATATAAAATGAACTAAAATGTATTATGCTTTGTGCAAAATTACATCTTTCAGTTGAATTAAATTCTAAAATTAGAATTCAAAGCTAAGACCAGGGAGATGTTGTGACTTTTTAAAGTCAGCATGAGTGTAGGTTTGTGATTTACTTAGACGACTAAATTCAGTGAATTGCTGATGACTCTAAAATTGTTTAGAAACATGATTCCGAAATATTTGAATGACCCATAGTTTATGATTGAAATAATATTCTGGAATGTAAAAAAAAAACTGTGTATAATTTCAAAACTTCTCTTTTAAGATAGTAATACTGGATGAACCCACATCAGGCATGGATGCCTTCAATCGCAGAGCATTGTGGGAAGTGTTAGAAGCAGAAAAAGAAGATCGCACCATACTCCTAACCACACATTTCATGGAAGAAGCAGATGCCTTGGGTGATCGTATAGCCATCATGGCTGACGGAGAGATACAATGCTGTGGATCACCAATATTCCTCAAGAAAAAATATGGTATAATTTTTTTTCTTTTAGTTTTATTCCTAAAACTAATGGCTGGAAGAAAGTATCAATTTTAATCAATTTAAGTTATTGTCCATTAATGTTAAAGCAAGGGAAAATTCTGCTTCCATATTTCCTATTTTTTTTTAAATGAAAAAAATATGATAAATTTCTGGATGAGCCATCTTTTTTAAAGAGAGCTACAAAAAAGTATTTTGGCATCTAGGGTTTGTAAAAAAAATCATTTTTTGTATCACTCAACTATTTTTGGCAATTTATATCAATTAACTCAGAATATTTAAAAAAAAATTGTGTAAGTCTACTCTGTTCTTGTTGTATGTCTGCTTAAAGCCACCAAAGCTTTTTTATTGTTCCAGTCTTATGTTTGCTAACAGCCACTAAAGCTTTTTTTACTGTTCTAGTCGTATATCTGCTTACAGCAACCAAAACTTTTTTTCAGTTCTTGGTGTATGGCTATGTTTACCACAACAAAGAACCATACTTATTACATAGGTTCAACTATGTTTTTCTCTTATGTTGATGCTTCATGGAATTCAAATTATTTTTTTATAAATTATGTATAAACATATCACTTTTCATTAAAAAAAATAAATTTCATCATTACGCTATATATTATGATCCTCTAACAAAAACTAGCTCAGACTAATAAGACTATTATGTATGACTTTAATATGCTCACAAAGGCTTAAAAAAAGACTCAGTGTGAGTTTTGGACTTCTTCGTAAACATAGATATGTATTAATTAAAAGAAAGTAAAATTTTGAAATACTTAAACTGAAAATGATAACAAATACTATGTTAGTTGTGTAGAAAAACTTAAAAAGTTAGTGTTTTTCTTTTCACATATTACTGTGTATCTTTTATATGAAAACTAAAACTATATAAAAAAAAAGTTAAGTAACTGCTGGATAAAGTTTTTTTTACTTTTCTTATTTCACAGCTGAATTTGATTTTTACGTAAAAGTATCCTTCATTTAGAATTTACAGATTAAAAATTTTATGTTTTCAATTTATCTAAATATATTGACTTTCATTTGTAGGTGCAGGATACCATTTAACAATGGTGAAAGAACCGGACTGTGATACTACTTTAATCACCAAAACAATTCTCTCTCGAGTCCCAAATGCAGAAGAAACCTCAAACATTGGACGAGAATTGAAGTACAGCTTGCCTACAGAAAGCAGCCATTTGTTTTGTGATCTTTTCACTGAGTTGGACCAGCGAAGAAGTGAACTAAAAATTTCTAGCTATGGAGCTTCTATAACAACAATGGAAGAAGTATTTATTAAGTGCGTAAAATTCTTACCAGGATTTGTTGATTTAATTTAGACTTTTAATATTTCTCTATATATATCAGAATGTAAATTAGAATAAAGTAAAACTTTAATAAGGTAAATTTTAATGAATATGGATTTTTTTTTTAAAAAAAAGATCCATCCCAATATTTGTAATTTTGTCAATTTACCAACATGGCACTAATGGAGCTTACTCCAAATTAATCTCACAATGCTGTTTGAAAACAAATTAAAAAGTTTAATCGGATTTAATCTTAAGAGAAGAATGGAGATATTCTTTTCTTCTCTTTTTTTTTTTTTTTTTTTTTTTTGAGAAATAAACAATTTTGTGCAGAGTTGAATTGTTTTGAAAACATTTTTTTTTCCTTTTAATACTAAATATTTTCCAACAGTGCATCAACAATATTTTTTGTAACTTATAGATCAAAATAAAAATTCCACATTCAGTAGGAATAAGTTTGCAAAAATCGTCAAATTCTTAACAGGATTTGTTGATTTAATTTAGACTTTTAATATCTATATATTTTAGAATGTGAATCAGAATAAAATTAAAATTTAATGAGGTTATTGAATATGGATTTTTTTTTATAAAAGAAAGATCAATAAAATTGATTTTGTGATTTTATTCATTTATAATTTTGTCAATTCACCAACACTGTGTTTATGGAGCCTATTTCGAAATTAATTTGATAATGTTGTTTGAAAATAAACTGAAAAGTTTAAACGGATTTCATCTTAAGAGAAGAATAGTGATATTCTTCTTTTTTTTTTTTTGTTAGAAATAAGCAATTTTGTGCAGAAATAAATTGTTTTGAGAGAAAAAAAATTTCCTTTTAATACTAAATTTTTTCCAACACGTCATAAACAATATTTTCTGTAACTTTTAGATCAAAATAAAAATTTGTATGGAATATACATTTAGAAATTAAGAATTAGATTGGGGCAAGTAGAGCAATCTCACCACGTTCAGTAGGAATAAGTTTGTAAAAATCGGGAATTGTATTTTATTATTCTTTAAGATTTTAACTTTTTTATTGTAGTTTAATTTTCTGAAAGAAATATGTAAAATATGAAGAAAAAAATTATTAAATAAAGAATAATGACGTCGCGTTAAAATTTTGAATTAAATCAGTTAAAAAATAAACTACCGCTAAGCATCTCAAAAGTTAACAAAAATTGGCGCGTCTCCAAAATCTCTGGAATGCAACAAACCTATTTTTTTTGTGTTTTTCAGTAGTTAATAATGGTACATTTATATTACATTTTCAACATTTTAAATCCTAATTTTGCTTGTATTGTTGTATATATTACTATAAAATAGTTTTTTAGTCAGTTATACCAATTGGAATCTATTGTTATGATTTTTTAAGTATTTCAGTGAGAATTTTACTTGAAGAAATTGGTTCTCTTAAAGTATCTTTAAAAAAAATTCCAATTTAAATAAATAATATCTAATTTTAATCTCTCTTTTTTTTTTTTTTTNTTAATTTTTTTTTTTTTTTTTGTTTATTTAAAACAAAATCATGAACCCTGTTTCTTGCGCCAATTTCTCTTGTGCTTCAATAAGGTTGTTAGGCATTTAAAACCAACCTTCTTATTTTGATAGAGTGGGAAATAAAGTGTCTGTTGCAAGTGGAACAGATATAGAAACACCAGTTCCAGAAAGTAAAGAATCCCTTTCCTCTAACACAGACAGTGGAATTCATGAGAATGCAGCTTATGTAGATGATTCCGGTTCAGTATCATTTTATTCTATCTCTTTAAAATATTTTTAATGAAACTGTTTTTAAATCATATCCAATTTTAATTTTAGCAGGAGCATAATTTGTACAACATAACATAGATTTCTTTTTTCTTGTCATGTATAGTACAGTAAACTCTCTATTATTCGACTCACAACTAGCTGCTTTCAGTGCTATCTTGCCTAGTAAAAAATGAGGAATTTTTGAATCAGCTATTAGTAAAACCAGTCGTGGGATGAGAAGAAAGGGGAAATACGGGATTCTTCAGTGATCATCCGTTACCAACCTACTTCTGTCAGCCTGTCGACTTTAGAAAACTTCCGAAAATTGTTTAGCTTGACTCATTGTAGTCATAATTTTAGCCTATAGAGGGCCAAGGCCTACTGTGCCCATCTCAGTTTTCTTGACCTTGGGCTCTGGGGTGCAGGAGCAGATGTTCCGGTCAGGTGGTCAGCCGAACGCGGAACCCCCAGTGTTTAGTTCCCAAGCATGCTTGGTACTCATTTATCGACCCATTGAAGGGATGATAGGCTGAGTCAACCTTGCCCGGCCCAAGGATCGAACCAGGGACCTGTGGCACGACAGCGCGAAGCGCTACCGCTTTTTATTAATTATTTATCTTAAAATTTTTAATGTGTCTTTCTAATTAAGTCCTGAAGTGGACTGATCTTAAGGATGCTGTTCCCAGTAGAACACCAAAGTCAAGCATCATTGGCTGAGGTCAGTAAACGGGTGAGTAGCCACTTTGATCAGCCTATGTAGAGACCGAGGGTGCACAGTATTGGTCCTCATTAAACTGCTCTACAGTAAAGTGCTTGACTTCACATGCAGGTTGTTGGGCTACCAAAGCGGAGGAACCATCCCCTCTGCAAAGAATCAAAATTGTGATGGCATTTCTTCGGATTATTCTTGGGGATGTATTGGCTGTTGCCAATAGCCCATTGTGCAGCTTTAATGCGACGTAAATAAAATACCTGCCTACCTTCTAATTAAATGGGAGAAGGAGTAGGAAGTAAAACTCTGCCGTATTAGACCAGATAGTTTAGAGCAGGGGGGCAAACCAATGGCATGCGTGCCAGTTACGGCACGAGACACAATATTTTGGGCACGCCACCGATCACAATTGTTACTACACTATGAATTGTTATTGCACAAATGTTATTACACTATGAAGCATATGTAACAATTAAATTAAAATTCCTCTGAAAACAAACAAAATAATAAACAATTATTAATAAAAAATTAACAATTAATGCTAAAAAAACAATTAATAAGCCAACAATAAATAACTAGCAACAAAAAAATTAACAGTCATCTTACAACCTAATATAAGTTATTTGTCATCGAATCTGCAGCAACAGAAGTCACACTGATGATACTTTAAATTGTTNACCTTGGGCTCTGGGGTGCAGGAGCAGATGTTCCGGTCAGGTGGTCAGCCGAACGCGGAACCCCCAGTGTTTAGTTCCCAAGCATGCTTGGTACTCATTTATCGACCCACTGAAGGGATGAAAGGCTGAGTCAACCTTGCCCGGCCCGAGGATCGAACCAGGGACCTGTGGCACGACAGCGCAAAACGCTACCGCTTTTTATTAATTATTTATCTTAAAATTTATAATGTGTCTATCTAATTAAGTCCTGAAGTGGACAGATCGTAAGGATGCGGCTCCCAGTAGAACACCAAAGTCAAGCATCATTGGCTGAGGTCAGTAAACAGGTGAGTAGCCACTTTGATCAGCCTATGTAGAGACCGAGGATGCACGGTATTGGTCCTCATTAAACTGTTCTACTGTAAAGTGCTTGACTTCACATGCAGGTTGTTGGGCCAACAAAGCGGAGGAACCATCCCCTCTGCAGAGAATCAAAATTGTGATGGCATGTCTTCAGATTATCCTTGGGGACGTATTGGCTGTTGCCAACATCGCATTGTGTAGCTTTAGTGTGACGTAAATAAAATGCCTACCTACCTTCTAATTAAATGGGAGTAGGAAGTAAAACTCTGCCATATTAGACCAGATAGTCTAGAGCCTACTGAATTTTATTTATGTTGTATTTATGTATGCATATTATTTTTTATAAAAGCATCCATCTTATTTGTACACTTATGAGTTCTTAAATTAGTAACATCAACTTAACTCAAACTTTTCTACCACATTTAACCCTTAATGAGCAAGGGCATTTTTCAAGAACAATGACCAGTAATAGATCAATAGAATTTTAAAAACTTAATTTCTTTATTACAAGGACACGAAAAATCGAGTAGAAACAATATGCTTGTATTGTGACACTTAATTTTTTAGAATATTTATAATGTTGGGAATATGCCGGCATTCATTAACTATGAATTTAATTTCAGTTTTACATACATCTTAATGCAGTTTTCTATTATTCTGCGTATGTTACACACACTGGTTTCTAAACTGTGCATGATAGAATGTTTTGCCAAAGCTTCTCAGAATATAGCTATTAAATCTTTTTTTTTTCCTATTAAAATTTAAACCTTGGACATCTTTTTTTGTAAAACAGCCTGGCCACATGAAATGAAATGGGTCAGAAAATATTCTGCTAACATAGAAATTGAAGCAACAATTTGAAACTCTTGGACATATAGATATTGGGAATTCACATCACTGCAAAGCCAGTTTTCATAGGTTTATTTGAAATGTTATGAGTTTTTAAATTATATCAATATTAAAATTGTGCTGATTTGTATTATTTAAAACTATTATACTCCAACTATTATTTCTCATTGTAATTGCCCAGAAATAAAGTAGTTTTCAGTATGTTGCATATACCATGTGTGCAGTCTGATAGTGCAAACGAGGATCAGGGAAAATTCAGGGAACCCTGGGAAAATTTTAGATCTAATTTTTTTTTAAAAAAATGCTTCAAAATTTTTTATTGTAAAAAAAAATGTCACTTTACAAAACTTGCTCTATAAAAAAATACTAAAATATGAATTTTTAAAATTTTATTTTAACATATTTTTTCATTCCTTATTCCATATCAACTTACAATCTTAGAAAATATATATATTTTTTGAAAAAGAATATTCTGCTATGCTAAATATAACATATGTAATTTTGTATGTCGATTTGTTTATTTGTTGGTTTGAATTTCTTTAGTTTATGAGTTGAACTTTAAATTTAGTCTTGTAGATCATTACTATTTCAATATATTTTGATTATTTTTAACTTATATGTTGGTTTATTAAAGAATTGTGTAAAATCAAATAAAAAAATTTTCTATGTTGAAAAAAATGTATTACAATATACAAATTTTCCGTTGTAAAATTATTTTGAAAAATTTATTACAACTGAAAGAAAAGAAGTAGTATTATTTTTGGAGAAATTTCAAACCATATTCTATGAAAATATTTGGCTTTGAAAATTTTTTACACTCTTGATACATACTATTTTCATCACTAATTAATTTCATATTTTTCAGGTATGGAAGTAGACCTTCAGAGTTTGAATGAGTGCCAAATTCAATCACGAAACAGTGGATGGAAGCTCTATATGCAGCATCTGCGTGCCCTTCTAGAAAAAAGAATTCTTCACTCGTACAGAAACATTGCCCTCACCATATCGCAGCTCTTCCTCCCTCCCATGTTCCTCATTCTCACAATGATCGTCTTAAAGACCCTCCCTAAACCAAGAGACGCCCCACCCTTGCCTCTCGGACTCTACCCTTTTAGAGGCACAGAGATTCCCTATGCGGCAGACGCTTCAAATGAGAGTCAAGCACTGTCTAGTATATATGCTTCCCAATTTCAGCTACCCGATTCTCCAGTTTATGTGAACAAAAGCATGACAGAATACCTTCTGAGCAAAGGTAAAGAAGATATAGGGAAGTACAATATGCACAATATGATTGGCGCTAAGTTTGAAAAGAGTGGCCAAAAGGCTATCATTACTTCTTTGTTTAATAATAAGGCCTATCACACTCCTGCTATAGCTCTTTTGGAAATTGAAAATGCACTTTTGAAGTATTTTACAAATGAATCGTACACATTTTCAGTTACAAATTTCCCTATGCCAAGGACCATTGGAGAAAAGGTATGGCTTAAAGTATTGTTATAACTTAATATTAAAGTTATCTATATTTCCACAAAATATTTTTTTAACTCTGACGAAAAAATGCACGACAATTTTAGCATATATAATCTGAGCTAATATGTAGAACACCAAGTCAAATTTTTAAACTTTATATTTTGTTGGATATTTATGGAAAGAGAAATTAATCTTAATATAGTTTGTCTATGGTAAGAACTCCCCCCACCACAAAGTCTGAGGCCATCTGCTGCTATGAAAACAAGAACAGCGCATTTCAGGGACGGTAGCTTCTCTTCACTATAGGGCTTATACATTAGACTGCAGAAAAAGATTCATTTTCTCTCGCTGGCCCATGCCGAAACCTGTACTAAACAATAACCCCCTATTTGAAATAGTTATACCTCGTTACCATAGTCACCGCCATGGGTCCAGGCAAATGGCATGGGGAGTTCTTACTTTAGACAAACTATAAAATCAATGATGCCACATTTTTTTTATTTTTTAATCTATCATTAGGAGGTTTTAAAATGCAATTAACCTTCCCGGTACTGACCATTCTCCAGAAAATTGTTTCTTAAGAGAAGTGGTAATCATTCATTAACCCCTTGGGGACGGGGGATTCAGAAAAGCATTCGTACAAAATCAGAATCAAGTTGTAATTAAATAAAAAANGTCTATCATTAGGAGGTTTTAAAATGCAATTAACCTTCCCGGTACTGACCATTCTCTAAAAAATTGTTTCTTCAGAGAAGTGGTAACCATTCTAGTGGTAATCATTCATTAAAGGTTACGATTCTAGTTACCCCTTTGGCGTAACTAGAATGGTCACCTTTACCCAGGTGCAGCCTTTGAAAAGGGTCAAATGCATATTACATAATTAGAAATGAATTCCATAGCAAAATGTAAACTACACTCATTTAAATCATGATTAGCAAATGAATTCAAATATTAAATGTACATAAAGGAATTTCAATGTTCTCTTCCATCTTATACTTTAAACTTTTTCAAAACTATTTTTATTATGGATATATAAATATAATTAATATTTTTCATAAATGAGAGGTGATTAAAATTACTATTCTAAAATAATTTCTGGTAATTTACAAATTTTGATTCCTCGCTTCTCATAAGACAACCATTCTTACTATTTTATATTTTCTTTTTATTATTCAAAAATTTACCTATCATCATTGAAAAATTAATTTGTAAAAAAGTTATTAATCAAGCTCAGTTCACTTAAAAATTGCAAGTGTTTGCAACAGTCTAAAGAAAATTCATATAAATTTATCCTCTAGTTTGCTAGATATCATGCAACATTTTTTAAATTTCTTAAAATTTATAGAAATAGTTGGAAATAAATAAAAAGTAGTTTGAATCAAAAATCAACATTTAATAGGGAATCTGATTTAATAAGTGAAGTAAAAATTTTCATGGTAGGTTTATGTTTGTTCAGTTCTATATTTTACTATAAAATAGTTTCGGAAATAATTGTTAGTATAGGTCTATTTCTATTTTTACAACCACATCTTCAAAATATTGTTGTTTTAATTAATTACATGTTTTATGAGCTGAAAAGCATATTCTAATTCTGTTTTAATGCAACCTGAAAATCATGACACCTTAAACCTGACATTGACATATTGCGAGGTGGCACAAAAACTGAATCTGTCTCCAGGAGTTGTCAAACCAATCTTTTACCCTTGGTCACTATATATAAATTGCCAACATTTATCTAAACAATTGCTCAAATAGTTACAAATTAGTTGTAAAATTTTGTGTTCATGAAAAACACTCAAAACATTTTTTGTGTTATTATTTTTTGGATGTGGCTTGTTATGCAAGTTGTACTGTTTTATGTATTTTTTTAAAGTATGACAGGGCTCACATGTCTCAAAAAATTCTAGAGAACCTGCGAGCATAAAGCATAAAATTTAAAATTTTTGTTTATTAAAAACGTCATAATTTTTTTTACCTAACTCTTCCATAATTTTTTTTTATTATGGTTTGTAGGCGATTAATAATTAGCAATCTTTTGAAGTTCTGTAAAAATGTGGAAATATTTAGACTCAAGAGTTTGATTGGAATGAATATTAATTTGTGAATATATCATAATTTTGTATAATGTAGCCAGATAGTAAAATGACCCCATTACTTCTACTACTAATCATTATTTTCGTTTCTTATTAAATATATTTTTTAATAATAGAGAATCAATTTTGCCCTTTCTAGAACAGATAACTTCCTTATTAATTATATATATTTATAAATACATGTGTAATTGCCTAAATTTTAATATCTAATTTTTAAAAAAAATTTATATGAGATATGTCTTTTAGAACGTGAAGCCACAAGCAAAGATTCTGCTTATAAAAAAAATCTGCTTAGTTTAGTGTTTCTATTACTTATTTAAATCAAACTCATAAACTGATTTAAGTTACTTATTAATTATTGATTTGTTGCTGTTTATCATGTTTCAATACATTATTTTATTCCTCAGCTGATGCAAGAACAAACTCAGGCTACAGAATCCTATCAAATATCCCAAGACATAATGTTCGGAATGTCCTTTCTCATTGCAAGCTTTGCTGTCTTTATTGTGAAGGAGCGAGCATCTAATTCTAAGCATCTCCAGCGTGTGAGTGGCATGAGTCGATCCTCCTATTGGCTGGCTTCTTTTCTCTGGGATTTTCTCAACTACATGATTCCTTGTTGCTTAGTTTTTCTAGTCTTTATAGCCTTCAAAACTAAGGGATTTAGCTCTTCTGTGGAAATAGGTATGTTACTTACTATATACAGAATATGCAACTACCGTAATATTTTAGTTCCTATTAAAGAATTAGAAAAGCTTTTGAAATTTATTTTGGAAAAGTATATTTTTATTGCTTAATTTTAATTGTTTAAACTTTTCTTTCAATTTGTAGAAAATAATTTACTGTTTGTTTTTTAGAGCAAAGTTTATGGTTGTCCTGATATACCTGATTAAAAAACTTTTATCCTGGTCTTTTAAATTGTCGCCAATATTTATATTTCTGATTTTTGTGCTTTATTAGATCATCTTATTTTTTAAGAATGCAATTGCAGATTTTTTTTAGGAAAAAAAAAACAGATTTGAAGCATCAAAAAATTTAGATTTTTCATTCAACACTTTTTTATTTTAATCAATAGTGTTAGTAGAAATCAAAAAATTTAATAGTTCAAATTTAGTTACCTTCTGCATGCACTATAAGTACTACATCTGCACCATCTTCATGCACCATTGAAACCATTAAGTAGTACTATTTATATACATCATTCAGACATAGCCTTATGCACAGGATTCGTTGTTTAAGCCTTTATGGGTATTCAGTCATTCTATGAAAAATAAACTCAATTGACAATTTTATATTATAAAATTTTTATCGTAATAAATTCAGGAGTCATATGCATATTTATAATTTTAAGCAAATGCAATAATGAATCTTGTAGGGTGGACTTAAAAATGAAAGATTCCAACCAACAATACAGTAATCATATCTCATAAATGATAAATGGAAGAATCATAGACTGAAATTACTTATGTACAAAAATTTCAAATGCCACATGCACATTGTTTTTATTTTGAAATTATTGAAACCTTTTGTTAAAATTGTTTGATTAAGAACTTGAACTTAATTACAAATTTTAATTGCATATTTCTATAAGGAAATATTTTTTAGAATCACAGCAAACTTATTAAAATATGTTTTGTAATAACAAATAGCAATCTTTTCTTTAAACTATTACTGTAAATTCTAGCTATTTCTTTTTCTACAAAAAAAATCCATCAATTCTTTCTAAGTTTGGTTCTGACAAAATCTTTTATCCTATTGGAAGTTCAATCTTCCTTTAACATTGTCTTTTGGTATAGAAAAAAATAATAGTCATAATATATTTTAATTAATGCATATCAATTTTACATTATATAGCATTTCTCTACTACAGGAACCATTTAAGAAGCTTTTTTCTAATTGACATTGATATATTCATTTTATTCAAGAGCATTTCTTTCTCCTTTTAACAAGACTTGTTATGGTTTTACCATATTTTGAATTTAAAAGGTAGTCAGAAATACTGGAGCGGTGTTTCAAAAATACATAAACATAGAAGTAAAGTTATAATTTTATTAAATACAAAGGAGACCAGGCGAAGTCATCAGTTATTGGTATTGTGTGTGTATATATATATGCGTATATATTATGAAGGATTTGCGTCAGCTTTAAAAGATGAGATAAAAAGTGTAAAAATCAAATTATTCAAAAATATCTAACTTAAAAGTAAATAGTAAGGGTCATATCCAAATGAAAAGATTGAGTTATCATACTTATAATTTATTTGTATTGTATTTTTATGTTCTATAAACTTGTTTATTGTTTATAACTAAGTGAAACATGGAAAACAAACAAACCTATTATGAGTCATAACACATTTTGTTGTGTTTAAGAGTTTTATGTGAAAAAATTAATAATTGCACTACTAAAAAACTGTTTATTTATTTTAAAATTAAAGTTGTTAAATATTAATTTTGGAGTTAAAGTTGTTAATATTTTGGAAAAGTTGTTAAATATTTCAAACTTTTCATATTTATTTAAAATCAAATTTTCAACGCAACATATTTGTGTGTTTAAATATTTGCATTTTTACCCTACTGAATTCAATTACTCTTGACTATGTTTACCTAAGGTACTATGGACTACTTTTTTTAAGACTTTTTTTTTCAATTTGAACATGATTATTTATACCTTAACAAATTCCTCAGTGTATTCTAATGAAGTATTTAAAAAATTTAATCGGTATTTAATTTTTATTTATTTGAAGAATAAAGTTAAAAAGTTCCTTTCTCTTATTGTGAATGTTTTGTAGTTTTATGGTATGTTTTTCTCTTTTTTTATAGGTCGAGTGTTTGTTCTCTTCTTTATTCATGGTTTTGCAGTTTTGCCTTTCGTGTACTGTTGTACTTTTGCTTTTTATTCTCCGTCGACAGCATATGTTCGAATCAGCATTTTCAATATACTTGCAGGTGACACATATTTATTTTGTATATTTTTGAAATGAAATGTTTTTAACTGTGCTTGAATTATTTTTCTACTTGTATCAGACCATAGGAAAAAATACAAGAGCGTATTACCTGGTGATGAAATAATTTAGTATTCTTCGCTAAAATTTTTTTTTAAATTTTATTTACAATAAAATATTACACACAATAATAAAATAACTTAATAATGTTTAGATATATCATTGAGTAAAAAAAATTTCTGAAATATATTAAGAATTGCTTTAATTTTTGCAATGAATGATTCGGAATTATAAATAAATTAACAGTTATTAAAGCTTAAATTCTTATCATGATACCAAATCTTCAGTTTATTTTTGTCATTAATCATGAATAAAAAATAATAATTTTTTCCTTTTTTTTTAGTGTTTTAATAAAATATTTTTTAATAATTTTTAATAGTCTTGATTATTCTCACAATGTGGATAATATTATGGATTATTCCCATGCTGTTTTAATAAAGTATGCAGTGTAACGTCCCATATCCGGACTTCCCTTTCCCGGACACTTTTTAACAATCAAAATAAACAAACATCTCTCCATCATCCCCTTTCCTTAAAAAAAAAAAAAAAAGAAAGAAGTCTTTTGACACATTTTCTCTTTTCCGCATCGAACCCATAAATCACCAGAAAGGGGAGATCTACCAAGACCATTGAGTGACCGATAGTGACGCTCCTCCCTTGGAATGTAGGAAAAAGAGGGAGATTTGTTTTCAAAAGACCGCAACTGAGTCCCCCTCCCCCCCTCCTTTCCCATGCAGGTGGCTAGTAAAAGAGGCATTTCCTGGAACCTTTTTATTGAAAGAAGAAATACTGTGGAAAAGGGTAAACGGGGCAAGCGTTAAGGTGGAGGGGGAGTCAAAATGGAAAATTTGAATAGGTCTAAAAGGATACACGTCCTTGAGAAACAAAACATTCGTTCTTCCCCATACCATGTAATATTTAGGAGGCGGGGGGAAAAGGGGGGTAACATTCTTTCTTTAGCAGATTCTTTCAGTCATAAAAGAAAAAATAAAGAGAACCCGATCAGCGTGTCCCGCCTTTATGCTTGATTGATAGCCAATGATTGGAGAGAAAACAATAATTTGTTACTTCCCCACCCTCAACTTAAATGATCTCCTCTTTACACTTATTTTCTTTCACAAATAAGGAGGAAATGAATTTTTCTCCTCCACCTACCCACCTTAATGAATGACGGGAATTTCCCTTTCTTGCTTGAATCATTCTAGTTAAAAATGGCGGATTATTATTTTCATATGTCAATTTTTTTTCGTTTTCTATATTTTAAGCAATAATATTTTTTTTCTAATATTTCATATTTTATTGATTAGATATTCTAATACTAAAACATTATTCCCCTTAAAAATAATGTTTATTTATTTTTTGCTTCTTAGATTTAGATCATTTTAAGCTTTGTTCCAGAATGACATGAATTTCCCCTTCCTGCTTGAATCGTTCTAGTTCAAAATGGCGGATTAATATTTTCATAACTGTTAAATTTTTTTCGTTTTCCATATTTTCAACAATAATATTTTTTTTCTAATATTTTATATTTGATTTAGATATTCTAATGCTAAAACATTGTTCCCCTTAAAAATAACGTTTATTTATTTTTTGCTTCTTAGATTCAGATCGTTTATTAAATCATTTTAAGCTTTGTTTACCTTGGGGGTCTATTATACGTAAAAATCTATTATACGGACTTCTGGAAGTCCCACCGATTCCAGATACGCGACTTTACACTGTAGTAATAAAATGGAAAATAAATGGCATGGCTGATTTTATATTTTTCTTCTCAAAAAATTCACCATTTTGCCTTCGTATTGGAATAAATGTTTAAACCACTAAATCTCTCTTTTTTTTTATGACACTGTAATAGATTTTGTCAAATTTAATAAATTTCATGTATTTGCTTTAGCATTCTTTTATCAATTGCAAATGTATGTGGGGAAAAATTATTTCTCTATGGATAATAAAATTTTTTTTTTAGATATTTTAAAGAATCCCTTTATTTCTCTTACAGGTATTGCTCTCCTTTTAACAGTTACAATTTTGGAAATCCCCGATCTTGATGTAAGCTACGTTGCCAAGCCACTGGATATCCTTTTCTCTATATTGTTGCCCAATTATGCATTGGGTCGTGGAGTCTCGAATTTATATCAGAACAACTTATACAATGAATTGTGTAACAATGAGAGGGCTTTCATTGGTTGCATTATAGGTGCTCCTGAAGCTATGCCTTGCTGCAAAGGTAATCAGGAATTTAGATGTTTTAATGATTCATCAGCTTTTATGAAATTAAAAAAAACTCAAGTTTTTTAAGGGAATTTAAAAATGCTAGCATATAATTACAAATTTAGTTTATCCAAAGATAATTTTAAAAAAAAATTTTTATTAGGTTTTATCATTTTTTAATATTTTAATTGAAAAAAGATTGGAAAAATTTTGAATTTTAAGGAATATAGATTTTTAATCATTTAATTCTAAAAGACAAAATACATAATTGACGGAATAATTCTGAAGAAATATTTTTAGAATGGGGCATTATTAAATTTATGAACTATTCAATTGATTTTTCTAAAATTGGGCATTTTTTCATTTAAAATTACATAACTTAAAATTGCAAATGATTTAATTTTACGATGGCTAGTCGATACAAATTCCATATCCGGCTTGCACTAACCGCAGTGCTGGCGTGAAATATCCTCAGTGGTAGACGGATCTTGGGTTAGAGTCCCGCTGCCGTCAGACTAACTGTGGGTGATTCCCGAGGTCTTCCTCTCTATGCAACGCAAATGTGAGTTAGTTCCATCAAAAATCCTCCACAAAGGCAAATTTATCCTGATACTTGATCCAGGAGTCCCTTGTCTTCTGGATTGGGTTCAAAATTACAAGGCTACAAAGTTTAACATTAATTGTCCTAAACCCAAAAATTGGGTCGGCTGTTCAACGATGGGTATGAAATAAAATAAAATATTATTAGTGTAGAAATACTGTAAAAATAAGTTTAAGAAGGTGATTATTTTGGACAACTATTTATCTATCTTAAAGTGCAAAATCTTCTATATTCTTATCTTAAAGTGCAAAATTTTCACTTATAAGCAATTTCTAGTATTCTTTATGTAAAGTAATTAATACTGCATTTTCTGTTAAGCATACATGAAAGTTATTTTTATTTTTTTTTTTTTTTTGCAATCCACCTGATAAATCATGTTATAGGTCTCTAAATGCCTCTCCTTGTGTTATGTGTGCACCCTGTTTACAGATAAATATTTTATACCTTATTTTATAGGAAAATGTAAAGATATTTGTGTGCCTTGGGAAGAAAATTATTTTACTCTAACAAGTCCTGGAATTGGAACTCAACTTATATGTTTATCATTTCAAGCTATTCTCTTCACCGTACTGCTCGTTTTGTGTGAAATGAATTTCGCTCGTTACATCAGATATTTGATAAAAAGCCGAAAAATCGTTCCCACCATTTCTTCATTAGATGAACTTGAAATTGAGACTGTGGAAGATGACGATGTCCGCAGTGAAAGACTTCAAATCCACAACACTCCTCTTAGACAGCTATTTGCTTATAATCATCTGGTTGTCATAGATTTGGTCAAGAAGTATGGAGGCCTCACGCCCGTGAATAAAGTATCCTTTGGCGTCCAGAAAGGAGAGTGCTTTGGTCTGCTTGGTGCAAATGGTGCTGGGAAAACTACAACCTTTAAAATGATAACAGGCGATGTCACCATATCATCCGGTGAAATCTATGTTGATGGTTTTAATATAAAAAAACAAAGCAGAAAGGTAAAATGTGTTTCCATGTTTATAGTGTGCTATTTTCTGTTAATTTTTATAACTTACTGCCTTAGTATTATGTTCATTATTTATACCAGACAGGGGTTTGTTCAGGGCAAATTAACTACCGTTTAGCGGTACCTTCACAAATTCAAGTTTAGGAAAAATGGTAGTTTCACAAAATACTTTTAAGAAAGCAAGTTCTAGATTCTCCTTCCCGCCTCTCCAACAGGGTGCATAGTGTTTTTTATAAGTGCTTAAAGGTGCTTATTTTCGTTTTTTAAGAGCCCCTAAAGGCGATTTTTTTCTTTGAGTGTTTTTAAAAAGTGCTTAATTTTCCCTTTTTCGAAATGAGATTTTTCCTTTACTATGTTGATTATCGCTCCAAATTATGCAAAAAGACACAGTTCACATTGTGCTATTCAACCTTTTCACAATTAATTCAACCCAATCTATTTCGGCGTATTGTCAGACCGTAGCGTATAAAAATGCCATTCGTTATACATGACTCAAAATTTCATCATTTTTTGACAATTGTAAAAAACAATGAAAAAAAATTTTTTTTTGGCATGACGGTTAAAACAATATAAAACCGTCAATTGTCAAAAACTTTCCAACCCTGTCTAATTGTGATATTTTCTTAGAGTGCTTAAAAATATTTTTTGAGTGCTTAAGAAGTGCTTATTTTTTGTTGAATAATTTGGCTACGCACCCTGTTCAAATTTTGCTATTGTATCCCTGTAAGAAACGATAAATGGCTGGTTAATTACGCATATACAAATAGGTAGCACATGCTTGGTCAGATAGTGGGGTGTGGTAAGCCTAACCAGTCGCTTACGCCATACTATAGCGAGCTCTTTTTTCGGCAGGGTTTTTTTTTAAAAAAATTTGATGCTGAGGCTCTCCCTCTGTAAACTTTACAGGAAGTTGAAATTCGAGCATTATTCTTAACACCCACATTGGGCTGGCTGGCCAACTATGATGATGATAAAAATTATTTGTAAATTAAGGAAAGATTTGATTTGTAGATAATCAGTAAACTGTTATCTTTTTTTTTATTGTCAAATATTATATTAAATTGTTTCTTGTTTAATTTTAAAAAAAGGTCCAAGGTCGAATTGGATACTGCCCTCAGTTTGATGCACTGATTGACGAACTGACTGGACGTGAAACTCTAACATTATTTTCTCGATTGAGGGGCATTCCAAATGAACAGATTGCAGGTCAAATTAAGTACTACAGTGAACTCCTCACTTTTAATGCCCATGTGGATAAATTAGTCAAACATTACAGGTATGAATATTTCCTTAACTTTAATTTGGAATCTAAACTTATCTACATTTAAATTATTTGATCAGTGATTTTAAGCTGTTTTAGCTAATTAATAATTCTAAAATGTAGAATTTAATATATTTTTTAAAGATTTTTAGGTGATTCCTTGGGCATAGCAGTATCTTCAATAAATTGATAAATTTCTATGGTACTAACTTTTTTTTCTTGCAATTTCTAATGATAAACCTAATGTAAAGGTTTAGGTGTGATAAACTTCTATTGCTTAGTATTGTTTAGATAAAATGCTTAAATAACTTTAAGTGTAAGTTCAAAAAAAAAAATACTAATTTTAAATGTCAATAAAACATAATTTTAAATATATGTATGTTTCTCAAAAAGAAATTGTAATTTAAACTGATGTCTGTGTCACCTTTGTCAATTTCTTCATTCCTTTATAAAAAATTTTTATTTATAATTATCAGGACTAGAATGATGACGTTAAGTACATTTATTTGCATTTTTGGTTGTTTTTTTTTCCTCTATAGGGCATTATTTAAAAAATATATATAATTTTTTTAGGTTTCTTTTTTTCATTTTTAATAATTTTTATGAATTTTATATGACATTTTTCATTTTAAGAGAAATTTGCAATTAAACTTTTTCTTTATAAATTATTGTACATTTTGCATTTAATCTTGTTATTTTAAATATTTAGTATTGATGTTTAAGACATATTTTCAAGATACAGTGAAATGGTTGGTGACGGAGGTTGGTTGATCTTAGAAGTTACTTCCATTGACTTCAAAATTGTTATTGAAGGTGCTTGATTTTTCCCAAACAATTTTAATTTTAGTCAGTGTCATATGGGATTCATTTCTTGGTGCAGAAATGCCGCTTATATTGGTGTCTTGAAAACACGGATCGATGATTGAAATTTAGCTTCTATAAAAATGATCTTATCTGATATAATTATTTGAAAAAACAAATTTACCCATTATAAATTATAAAACTATTTGTAATAAATAAATAATTATGTTTTTTGTTTAAATTTGCATTTAATTTTATATCACAGAAATTAGTTAGCTTTAAAAGATGAGAAGAGATTTGTTTGCTTGTTTTTCTAAAATTACTTAGTTTTTTCCTTATTTAACTTTCAACTCTAAAAGTAAATCCTTAATAACTAGGGGAATCAGGGGACAGAATCGAACTAGGGAACCACAGAATCGATCCTTGTTAAATTGTTCTATTGTAAAGTACATAGCTTCTCACTAGGATCATCGAGTTACCAAAGCAAGAAGCCATCCATTCAACAAAGGAACAAAATGGTGATGGCTTGTTTTCAAATCACACTTTAGGAATATTTCTCAAACCGTCACTTATAGCCAGCCCATTTTGCAGTTCTATTGATATGTGAATGAAGTACTTCTACTACTCAGAAGAATATCAAAAAATATCGAATAATAAGAATGTCATAAAACAGAATATCAAAAAACATTTCATAGTACAATGAAATTCTGTTCTTGAAGATAGTAAATAAAAATTAATTCTTAATTACCTTTATCAAGTACCTATTGATATTTTATTTCATTCATTTGTTATGAGTTTATTATTAATTATTATGAGTTTTTTTTTTAAAAAAAATTTTAATTATTAAACACATTTGTAAAAAATTGTAAAGATCATTTTTTGATGGTCTTTAAAGACTTCTTTTTGTATTTTATAGAGCAATTACTACAAGAAATTTTAGGTCATCAACATTCTAGCCCTGATAATTATTATTACTGATAGACAGAGTAATAATAATAGTTTACTTCCTTTTAATCTTTTTCAGTGGTGGTAATAAACGGAAGCTAAGCACAGCTGTAGCACTGGTTGGTGACTCTCCAGTTATTTTCCTGGATGAACCCACAACTGGAATGGATCCAGTGTCACGCCGTTCCATGTGGGGTGCACTACTTCAAGTCATGCAGTCAGGCCGTTCTGTTATTTTAACATCACACAGGTTAACTCTTTTAAAAATAACATGTTATCAAATTCCTTATTTTTTTAAAATCAAATATTGCTAACATCAAAATTGAATTATGCATGTAAATTATTTTTAGGATATGTTAGTAAATTATGTTTAAAAAATATTGGATGTTGCATTGGAAGCTTTTAAAAAATCAGTTGTTTTACTTCTTTGTGGAAAGGATACACCTATGCATTATTTTGCAGTTTGATTATTATGTATTTTCTATTTAAAAATTTTAAAAGGATGCTTCTTTTATTAAATACACAACTTAATTTAAAATATTTTGTCAAAAGAAATTCTAGATTGTATTGTCTATTGAGTTTTATAAAAATACTTCTTTCAGCCAGTAATGACAAATATATTAAAGTTAAAAGATTTTCTACATACTTATTGAAAATAATGCAAAAACAAACAAACATTCGAAGTTATTTAATTTACTTAAAAACTTCATCTTGTGGTAATCATGATGTTGAGAAGGTTAGAAGTGGAACTATTTTTATATTTTACTTAAAATATATTATCAGTACAATGAGACAATCAGTACTTTTATTAAAACTAAAAACTTTTATTGAGAAATTATCCCTTCAAGAATATTGATGTAATCAAAAGTGATACATATTGAGAGGGAGAAAAAGGATACAGTTTGATGTAGAAGTTGTCTGTGAAATTGTTTGGGGGGGAGTGATTTTAATTCTAAGGCAAATGTACTTGCTGAGTACTTCAATAAAAAAACGTTAATTCTCATTAAACAAAAATAAAATTCTTAACTTCTTCATTTACTTGAAGGATAGGATTTCATCCAGTGCTAAATGACATATTTTAGGAAATGAACCCATTCAAATGGGGCACAATTTATGTAGGGTTTAAAGAAGAGCATAAAGGAAAAGAATCAAGCTTTCCCTCAAATGCAAAATGTTACTCCTTTTTAGACAATTATTTTAGGACAGAGTTCAAAAGTGTGTGCATCGTAAAGTGTTTACAGAGAATTGTGATTTGATTCAATATACAATTACAAACTTAGAAAGTAAGTTAATATAAATATTAGGATCTAATGTATAGAATAAGGCATAGAGTTTCCAAAAGTGGTGCCTATATAGCACTAGAAAGAGCTTTTTTCAAGTAGAAATAACCTGTAATGAAATTAATTAATTGTTAATAAATATTTTTTTAATAGAATTGCAATGCTACAAATTCTACAATAGAAAAATGACTTCAATCTGAATGAAAATGAAGTGTTTTTTTAATTTCCATGTAAAACTAAACTTTTATTCTTTATTAATACTGTAATTTGAGAGAGAAAATATCATTTAATGTGTGAGTAAAGCCCATAATATGAAGGGTTTAAAGCAGGGTTTCTTAACCTGTAAATTCATGAACCCCTAAGGGGTCCATGAGTTATATTTTGGGGATCCGCTGACTACTCCTAATTTTTAAAACGCTTGGAAGCCTACCCATTGCTTGTAAATCGATTTATGGCAGCTATAATTCCGTTTGCTACATTGTATCTTTGCGAAGCGGAATTTTCCACACTTGTGACAATAAAAATATAACATCGAAATTGAATGAATGTTGAACATAATATACACATTGCTTTGTCAAAAACCATCCCCCAATTAAATTTATTAATTAAGGAAAAGCAGCAGCAACCTTCACATTAAAAATTTTAATTTTAAAAATTTTGTATGCTATTAAAATAATAAAATTAAATGTTTTCTAATAATTGATGTTTTTGCAATTATTTTTTTCACAGGGGGGAGGGGTGGTCCGTGACTTCTTAAAAATTTTTAAAAGGGGTCCATTATATCAAAAAGGTTAAGAAACACTGGTTTAAAGGAATGCCCGTAAAACTTTCTCTTTGTTACAAAATTATATTATCTTTTTCATTAAAAACAGAAAGAATAATTTTAATATTATTATCAGTAAGAAGTTAACATAAATTTTATTCTTTTTAAAATTAATCTACCTTTTTTTCCAGTATGGAAGAGTGTGAAGCTTTGTGTACACGCCTAGTCATTATGGTCAATGGTCGCCTTTGCTGTCTCGGTAGTCCTCAACATTTAAAGACCAAATTTGGACGTGGGTTCACGCTTACCATTAAAGTTGGCCGGAGACCACTAGCCATGAACATACATTTAAACGATGCTGCGAGGAATGTTGAAACAGTACAGGGAACTTCAGGTGATCCTTCAAGACGTATTTTGGTGCCAACAAATGGTGTCCTCAAAAATGACATAGGTGACATAAAAGCATTTGTCATGAGTACTTTTGTCAATGCCACATTAAGAAGCGCTCATGAAAACCAGATTCACTTTCACATTGCCAGCACCAGATTGAACTGGGCAGAAATCTTTGGCATCATGGAAAGAGCCAAAGTCAATTTGAACATTGAGGACTACACGGTTGGCGAAACAACTTTGGAACAAGTTTTTCTGAATTTTGCCTCCGCTCAAAGACCCGATGAGAGACTATAATGAATTTAGATTTTTTTAAATTTAATAGCTTGTGCAATTATTATTATTTTTTCAGAAATTTTCTGTGTTTGAACCACAATATTTTGAATATTTATAAATATATTTATATTGTTCCAAAAAAAAATGCTGTGTTATCTTCTGAAACTGTGATGCTTTTTGTGCCTTATGAAAACTGGGTATCAATTATTTGCCGGTTTTTAGCTATTTTAATTAATCTTTGCACTAGGAATATAGTTTAATGTACAAAAACTATATTGTGCTTATGAGGTGACAACAGCAAATATAGCTTGCACATACATTGAACTTCACTTTAGTTATAAGTCCTTAAACTAGATGATTTAAAATTACTTTTAATGAAAAATTTGAAAATACAATTTGATTTCAACTGAAATTATTTTTTCATTAGAAATAATAATGAGAAATAAAATTATTTGTTTTCTATTCCATGAGATTTTTTAACATAACTTAGATACTTTTGCGTTGCTGATTTCAAATCTGAAATTTGTTTCTCTCTACAAACTACAGTTCCTATGCAATTTAATAACATATTATGTAGTTTCCTCAAGTGTTCCCACTTCTCTCTTGTTGTAAGGCATAGTAGGAATAAGACTATAATACATTTCAGTTTATATTGTGATAAGTTATGGTTATGCGTTTTTTGTCTTAAGTGTTATTTTCAGAAAAGCAGACCAAGCTATATGTTCTTTTTAAACTTGTGCATTCAGGCAATAAAATAAAATAAAAATAAAATTTTGAAAAAAAATCTGAAGTTTTTTAATTAAACTCATTTCAGATTTGAAATCCTCACACCTGAATTAAGTATCAATTACTTGTATAAATGCAACCAAAAAATTTGCTCCCCAGTGTTATTAAATTTTACTGATTTTTAGTTATTTTAGTTGATTTTTTACACTATAGATTATAGTAAAATGTTTTTTAAAAAAATCTAAGCATATAAGGTGACGGTAGCAAATATAACTTGCACTATTGCACGTTTATTGGACTTCATTTTAGTTATTGTAAGTCCTTACACCAAATGATTTGAAAGTACTTTTAAAGAAAATTGAAATGTAAAATTTGATTTTAATTAGAACAATTTATTCATAAATAATAAATTTCTAAACATGATTGCTGTATAAATCAAGTAAATCATATTTGTTTGTTTGTCTAAAATGTGTGTTGTTCAAAAATGTTTAATTTTAAAACATTTTTTAAGAGCTTGACAACGAAAAAAATACTTTAAAAAAAACTTAATTTAGTTTTCTGTTCATTATTATTCAAGGAACAACCCCTTGTATAGGTTTAAAAATGCTGTGCTACCTAGTGGGTAAAAGAAAGTTAAAACTTTGAGTTTGTATTAAAATTATACTGTTATACATTCACAATAATACTTTTTGTACACTTTGAACTTTTTTGCATTGCTAGTCAAAAATACTTTATTAGCTCTAATTCCTTGATAGTACCTTGACAACGTCTTTACTTATGCTACAGATATATATATATATATATAAGCGATTTAATTATCTTACATTCCTTGAACTTACTTCTTATGGAAAATATTACTAAAAAAGTAAGAAAAAAAGCATTTAAATATTCTCCTCCCTTGAAACCAAATAAAAAATGAAAAAAAAAAAAAAAAAC